TGCCTGTAAAATGTCATCTTATAGCATCATCTTCAAGCCATCTTTCAATTTCTACTTTGGTACCAGCATTATTCTCTGTTCAACTGAATGCTGTAGGTCTTGAAATGGTAGCGTTAGCACTATAATTTTATACCATAGTGTCTTGTGTGGTGTCTTAAGTTTATTAGCCTCATCACAGAAACTTTTATTAGTAATCCAGCATATTGCTAGCCTTATCTCAGTAACTTACATTATTAAGCCAGGATAAAGAATGACATGAGAGTTACAGTACTGAATGAGGCATAATTTGTTTCTATTGCATGTGAAGTAGTAGAAGGAAGTACAGTAATTGGAAAGTAATACTGTATACTAATTGAGTGAATATAACTTGGGTGGTACTCCAGCTCTGGCTCCCCTCTTGGTTCTTCTCTCGCGAGGGCTCTCACAGGGTCTACCTCAGGGGGGCTCCTCTCCTCTGCTGTGTCCTGATAACCCCATTGTATGTCTTCCATCACTCGCACGGATGCCAGGTTTTACAGGTTCTGTAGTTTGTGGTCTTAATAGTCCGAAGTTATTGTAGTAACCCATTGGTTCAGGGTGATATTTGAAATATTTACTGTATTCCATAATCATTTGATTGGACTTTACTTCTTGCTATGATATTTAGGAATTTTTTGCATGAAAGTAAATTAATTTCTTGCATGTTGATGATACATCAACTAATAACTAATCATACCATTTCAATATACGTAAGGTGGTATTGTGTGTGTTTTTCACTTAGACTGAGCATTTAAGTTATTACCAGTTAATTTTACCTGTGGAATACATCCTGCTAGTATATATACGCTTCTTTAAAATTAACTTGGATTTGCCAAACTTGTATTATTTACCTTGATTTTGGATTAAAGTCTCCCTGAGAAGGGCATTATTAGCTTCTAACTCAGAGTAAGCTAGAGTCCAGAGTACAGTTGACTCCCAGTTATAGGGTTTGTAATTTGATGGGGACCACTTCTGTGTAAAGTATAAACAAGACCATTAATCAGTTTCACATGGTGAGAAGTTTGTTTATGTGAATTACTTTATTGGGTTTAATAAAAATTCATATAAAATCCTATTGATAAATCCAACCATAAATAAAGATAAAATTACTGTATTTTCTGGGTGCCTAACTCTGGTTGATGGCAGATAAAGAAAAAACCCCAACCACAGGGTGATTTTCCAGGGCCATTGCTCCCTGAAATCTTTCTGAGGGGGCCCAGGTTCTGGGTCGTGGTCCCCGGTAGGCTGAACTCCATTGACTATTGTCCCAGTCTAACATATCACACATTAGCTCGATAGCTCCAAGGAGCCTCCAGGGCTCACCCAGAAAATTGCGTTTCATTACATTCAATGCTGCTTTTTTTCCATTAGATCCTGAATTAAATACAGTACTGTACTACATGGGGTGTAGTATAGTAATCTGAGGTGTCTAGGAACACATCCTCACATAATACTGGGAAGCAACTGTGTAACTATAACCAATTTCTTATATCATACCAAATGCATATGGTTAAAAAATTATCTCGGTCTGTGGCAGTTCAGATGAAAGAATGGGTTGATTCATAAATGCACTACTTTCTGCTCCATGCACTAAAAACTGTCCACTTTGTCATTGCTGAGTGCAGTCCATCAAAATGTATGTAGCTTTATTTCACTATTATACATTTGTGGTTATTATATAATGAATTTAATAAAAATGTTGCTTTTAAATAAAGTAGTGTTCATTATTTTGTTAATAATAACCTGTATACTGTAGTACTATCTTTTTAAACTGCAATTCTTTCTTTGCTTTATAAGTTTAAATGTTAAAAATTTGCCCTATGCTAAATTCTGTTGCTTATTTTTATAATCTCTACCATGTGGATAGGTGAAGGTACTAGACCTTTCATAAAACACCATTATTAATTGACTAATTGATTTGAAATAAAGTGATGTAATTTGATTTTATATGCTGAACTACTAATAATATGTATAGGCTCTCTTCAATGACGGAAGGAGGAATGGAAATTTTGTTATTAGTTGCAGTATGCAAGTTTATCAGGAGAGAGTTTATCATTGTTTGAAAGTAAATGTGTTTTATGTAATAATTTTTTTAAGACAGTATTGAATGCCTGCTAATGATTGATTCATTTATTTTTTAAAGTACAGTATAATAAATGGGTTTCATCTTGTTAGCAAGATACTATATAAGGTAAATATAAGGCTTTAAGCTTTTGTGAGAAGCTCCTGCCTGAACCTGATCATTCAGCTGCTTCTTCAAATGTATTATTCCAGTGTCCTTGGACAAGGACTATATAGTCAGGTACAACATTCAGCATGACTCTACAGAGAATTTTGAAGCATCCATACAGGGTCATATTTTGCTAAAAAAAATAATCACTGGAGTATACTCAATACAAGCCAGAAATTGGAATTAAAAGGTCTTCCCCCCTCCCAAAAAAAAAAAAATCAATTCAGTCCCATTTCTCACGTGTAATCACAGGCAGTGGCCAAATGAGAGCTCTCACACCAACTTCTGGCTAGACTATGTGATGCAACTCTCCTCTCACCAGAAGGCAGCAGCACGTCACTGGACCGGAGTTCACATGACTCGATCTAGCTCACGTGCAAAAGTGAGAAAATAAATAAGGTGGTGGGAATGGGAAAAGATGAGTAATGTGGTTCAGAAAGAAGCTGATTCCTCATGTAAGGATTCTAAAATGGCAAATGAAAAAATGAATTTGGGTAATATTCACTTGAGTTGCGGGATGACCATAGAAGACTACTAAGAGGAATGGATGCTGTCTTTGTAAAGATAGATTATAAAGTACTGAACAGGCACATGCAGAGGCCCAGACCTTGAGGGTGGCCACCGGTCGGAGCTAGTTTAGGTTAATTAGCCCTGGAAAGAGTGATGAGCAGCAGGTTGGTCCAGGCAACTCAGCCAGTAGTTAATGAGAGCATTCATGTGGCAGCCATTTATGATTACAAGTGAGAGCTTGGAAGTGCTTTGATATTTTGTGGCAAAAGTCTTTAGACTGTTATTTCTGGCCTGTATTTACTACAGTACTGTATACACCACTTACTCCCAAAGAACATTATGACCTGGCAGGAATGTTTAAAAATTTCCTGTGGCATTGTGATGCATGTTACTCTTTGCCTGCCTGCATGATCCATCTCCACGGACACAGTGGAATTATACATAAGGGAACAACTGAGTTGCAGAGCTCAGAAGTTGGGTGCAGTGCGAGTGAATAAAGACATTAGAAAGAAAATGACTCATCATATATTATAAACAATACTGAATAACTACACTTACCTTACCAGCTACACATGTGAGATTACTATTTTAGACATTCAGAAATTAATGACATGACTTAATTTGTATTTCCTAGTAAAACTAAAAATACAAAAATATATAAAATTTAATTTCTGCTATGGTTTTATGATATTCTCACATATAGCTGATGTTTTTACATTATTAGTTCTGAGAATTAATGAAATCTACATAAAAAATTCCATTTAATTGTTATTAATGTCTACATTATAGTAATTATATTAAAATTGATGTCTACATGAATGTGTGAAAAAGTGAAAGTATGAGTGAGAATAACAGAGAATCATATGATTAACTATTTGTGGTTTACATGAGAAAGTTCAGCCAAAAAAACTGCACAACAGTTACTCTGGTTTTAGAGTTACAGGTATTATATTGTACTGTAGTACTGTATCAGCACTCCCTCACACGTTCATTCAATCTTACTCCCCATGGCACTCTGTTGTTTGCCATTTTGCTGTAAAGTGTTAGGTCTTGTTAAAGCACTTGCTATCTTATGCTTTTTTGTGCAATAATAGCAATAGCAATTTTATATTCTAGTTCACTGCAAATTTGAATGTTCTGTAATTTCAGGCTAAATTTAGTTTCCCTTTCTGTGGGGAGCCCCATCGACTTTCTGAAGCTATCTGAACTGATATGTACTGTACTATATTAGTTTGGGGTCATTAGTCACTAGAGTCCTTATACCTAATGGGAATCATGAGCCAGAACATCAGAGAGGCGCAGCGAGCAATGGCCTACAGGCATTTTACATTTAAAGTATGTCGTGATTGCCATTGACCCAGAAAGATAGGCGAAACAAAACGGACTACAATCTGGTAAAAATTGCGACCTACATCTGTACATACCAGAAGAACTCCCCCAGAAAGAAAACAAACAAGCAACACTTCATCCAACTAGCACTTCTACTTGTTAGTGCTACAGGGAGGGGAAGCCAGCTCACAGAGAGGGGAAGACAGCTCACCTGAGCTGGCAGGCCACCACTCCAGTTCTTGAACTGATGTACTGGAGTCAGCTTGGTCACCTCTGGCCTCAAGTTCTTGTTCTGGATTTTTCCCTGTGTGTCTGTACCAGCAGTGTGTATGGTGTGGTGGCCAGGTGTCTTATTGTACACGGAGAAGTATGTGCCTAGAGTGATCTTCCCTAGGTGCTCCATAAGTACTATTCTTGTCTTTCGGGGTTATCTTCCCTGGGGTGTTTGGGACTCGCTCCCTTTTGAGGACTTCATCGCTTGGCGTTGGCACCATTTTCTGGGCAAGCGCTGGAGGCTCCCTGACACCCTCCCTCCTTCTGGTCGGCAGTCTTCATCATTCAAGAACTAGAGTGGTGAGCTGCCGGCTTACCTGAGCCGGCAGTTAGCGGTTAGCGAGTGCTAGTTGGATGAAGTTTGTTTTCTTTCCGAGCGAGTTCTTCTGCTATTTTCGGACACAGGTCGCAATTTTCCCCAGATTGTGGTCTGTTTTGCTTCGCCTATCTCTCTGGGTGCTTCCCCAGTCGATGGCAATTATGACATACTTTAAGTGTAAAGTGTTTGTAGGCCATTGCTCCCTGTGACTGATGACCCCAAACTAATATAGCACATATCAGTTTGGATAGCTTCGGGGAGCCTCCGGGGCTCGCCCTGAAAATGGCGTTTTATTACATTCAATGCTGGTTTTATCTTCAGATCGTTCAGTGGATCTTGTAGAGGTCTACAGTGATGATGATGAGGATTACAGCTCACAAGATGAAGGCAGTGATTCTGAACCAATTCTTGAAGATGGCTCTAGACGAACTCATCATCACTTACGGTCCAGTGCACGTTCCAAAAGTTTACCCCCCAATGCTCGGGTAAGTTAGCAATACAGCTGGATTTAGTGTCGTTATTTGTGTTACTGTGTTTGCTTTGTGTTACATGTGTTTAGTCATTCATCCATAGCCTTTAGGCCTCAATAGCACATAATATGAAACATTAAATGAACACTACAGTACTGTAATTAATATCAAGGAATAAATTATTGTTTATTAATTTGTATTAATAATTACCTACTAAGGAATTACCGTAAATAGTTTCATGTATTTTATTTTCTGTTAAAGTATATGCCAACACATTCTGGTTCTACAAGAAAAGTACTTAGACTAAATAGTTCCAGATTACTCCAGAGCTCTGTAAAATAGGAAGTCACTGGATTGGAGTTGCAATTTAAAATATAACTATGGGAGCCAGTCGGCCGAGCGGACAGCACGCTACACTTGTGATCCTGTGGTCCCGGGGTCGATCCCGGGTGCCGGCGAGAAACAATGGGCAGAGTTTCTTTCACCCTATTCCCCTGTTACCTAGCAGTAAAATAAGTACCTGGGTGTTAGTCAGCTGTCACGGGCTGCTTCCTGGAGGTGGAGGCCTGGTCGAGGACCGGGCCGCGGGGACACTAAAGCCCCGAAATCATCTCAAGATAACCCTCAAGATCACAATATTTACAACATTGATATGCTATAGTGCTGAATGAGCTCATGATCCCAGTACCTGGTAAAGGGCCTTAATACTAATCACAATAACAACCTCATTTATTATGCTTGTACATCCTGTTTTCTTGAATAATACAATGCATTTTTATATCAACATCCCCAACAGACAAAATATGATTTACGAGCCGCTATAAATCACAGCGGCTCGCAGAAAACCAAATTTTCAATGCATGGGTCCATCGGTTAGATTAGGTCCAGGCAATTTAGTTCATAGTTTTTGTGACATGACAACTGAAGAGGATGGGCTCTTTATTATATACTGTACTGTGTTGATTACACCAACCTGTACTCATTACAGCACCCCGTAATCATTGCACTTGAAATTCTTATTACTGTAATAAGCCCTCTTCTTTCCCTGAGATATGCTGGTTGGGATATTCTCTCTTGATTGCTTTCATTCCGTCAAAAATTTCTTGGTAACCACTATTTCTATACCTAAGACTCTGTTGCCAGAATTGACCTGTACAATATCAACTCTTCATAGTAGTGATGATAAGCTGGGAAAATTATTTACTATCATAAGTAGAGCACACAAATAGCTAAAAGCATTATCTTTGTTTTTATAAATTTTCATATCACAGGGGCAATGTTGTTTTATTTTCTATAAATATCTTCATGATTGAGGAGGTACAGCAGTGTCTGTTATATACACTATTGTGGGATATTTAATAATTGGTTGCAAAGAATAATGGAGAAGAGAGAGAGCAATTATGACCCTGTTTGGTATTAATAAATTTTGTTTAAATGTGATATTATTAATGGACTCACCATAAGTATGACCACTGCCACTACTAAATTTTTACACACTGAAGAGTAAAGCTCTATGACATCTGTTAATGTTTTGTTTACCATATTTTAAGCCTACTGTTCATTGTATTTATATTTCTTTGCATTTCTATTTATGACATGTCTATTTTTTTCAGCAACGAAACCTAAAACAGAGGTTTATTGCATTGCTCAAGAGATTTAAAGTTCCCGAGGCCTTGCAGGCATTTGATCAGGACCAAGAATTGGATCCAAGAACAGGTATTTTGCAGCATTATTATCCTTTTCTTTAGCCCTGATTTAGCTAATATTTTACCAAGGCTATTTAGCTCTTTCTTAAATATGTATATCATGGTTATATTGTATGTGAAAATTCCAGTGGGGAAATGTAATAGAAGATGGTGGAAGTCATTATTAATTTGGAATACTGTACTACAGTACTGCTTTTTGTTAGCATTGTCATAATTATATGAATAAGATTATAATGATTACAATATTGATAAATTATGCTCCTTACTCTTAATGATAGAGTAGCTAAGTATGGGTTCTATTGTAAGCTTGTCAAATATAAATTGTGAAACACAGCTTTATTGAATAAAATATATGCAAAATTAAAGTTCAGTAATTCTGGGTAATATATGTTTAAGGATATTGGCATTGTTTGTATGTGTAAAAAGAGTATTTATTTTGTATGATAATGGTTTCATGATCTTGTTCAGAATTCATTTGCTATCTTCTGTGCTATAATGATTAATGATCAATCTGAGAAGAGTATCCTTTTTCCTAATTAAAAATACAAACAAAAATGATAAAACAACGCAGATCAGTGAGAAAATACAGTTTAAGGGACATAAGAAGGCAAAATTAATTTTTGCTTGTAATTTACAAGTTAAAATACCATACATAAAATTCCCCAGTACTGTGTGCTTATTTACTGTACTGTATTGATAATATTCTATATATTTAAAACACTTACGGTCTGATATTGAGTTACTTGAGTCATTACATATTTATATAATAACGATTAAAAAATAAATTTTGTGTTATAGTTTTATATTATGTTCTTTAAGAGATTTTCTGGGAAGGCTCCCTGTTGGATAGCTCCACTCCATTAGAGAGTGGATTTTGACACCAGGCCCTTGTGAATCATTGTAAGCCTACTGAGAATTAGGCCAAAGCTTGGTCCCCCTTCTTAGAGGTGCAGGGAGCTAAGAATACGAGGTCAGTTAGACCAAGAAAAGGCCACTAGATAGGTAGAGCAAGACAAAATGGACAACAGTAAGGTGCACACAGAAATCACATTAGCATGATACATCAATGAACAAATCCACAAGGGTCATGATGAGGGTTCGAACCTATGTCCGAGATGATCCCAAATGCGCCTTAGTCGATTGAGCCATGACATAGGCACTCCATGTCATGGCGTAATTGACTAAAGTGCATCTAGGATCATCTCGGATGTACAGTAGGTTCGAACCCTCATCACGGCCCTTGTAGATTTGTTCAACAGTAAGGTAATAACACAGAAAACGAGACGCTGATTACTGGGCAGATTACATCAACCTTTTCTCATTATAGCACCCTGTAATCATTGCAAAATATACACCAGATTGTGTATATATTGCCACCAGATTGTATGCAGTTGCTGGTAGACAACTGCTCACAATCTGGTGGCTGTATTGGACCCTTCATTGGCTTTTGGTTAGCCCGTTTCCTCTCCTGACTTTTCGAGATTCTGAATGGCACCTCCCACTCCCAGTGCACAATCTCTTCACGTATGCCTTGGCCTTACATTGGGACGTTGTGACTAACCCTCACCTGGCCACTTTGGGCCACTGGGTGGGTCTTCTGTGTCTGTCAGACAGCATGGTATGCAATTTTTGTAGCAGTTTTGAAGCTCCTCTCCAACTGCATTTTTGGTTCATTGTTTGAACCAAGGGAGGTTGCTTCATTCTCTTCCTTCATAAAGTGCTGAGGTGGTATTGATGCCAAAAGTCAACAAGACTCTGCCAAGGTCAAACATTATTCAGCTTAAGATTTTAATCAATGAACAGTCAAGATAAAAAGGTCAGGTAATCAAAACAGAAGACAATGATGAATAGTCACACAAAAGATGAAAGTGTGTGCCAGGAAACCTCATACTTTGCAGTGATGAAAGATGTAGGTGAAAGACCAAGAGCTCGGTCCCCTATGTACCATACACAGGTTCATGTTATGTTCTCTTCAGCTTATCGCAGGTCGAGTTTCTGACTATAGTCTACACAGATAGACTATAGTCAGAAACTCGACCTGCGATAAGCTGAAGAGAACCTCGATCCAGATAAAGACGGCGATGTGGAAGGTCACCTGGGTTCAGACACTGAGCCAAAAGTGTCAGAAACCAAATCTGAGCAGGCCACCAAGAAGCTAGAAGGATCATACTGCCAGACTGGAGCCAGTAAAAGGCTCCAGTCTGGGCAAAATCCATAGCAAAAGTGAGAGCCTCACGATCAGGGAATGGAGCCACATAGGTAAGAAGCTGCCAGTTTCATTTTGACATGAAAAGGGTTCACTTCGGGGAAAGCTAAACACCTCACAGAGCCAATGGATGGACATATCACCAAATGAGAGACTGTCTGTGAGAACACCAATACACCCTGCATATGAACCATATGGAGAACTAAACCCTGAGAATCCAAAAGATGAGTTACTCACGGAGTCATGCTCCAAAGAGGAAAAGACTGAAGTAACCCCCTTTGAATTAGACAAGAATCATTTGGGAGCAGTTGGAATGGTACCTGGAGAATGGATCCCAGAGGGAAAGGAACCACTGCAGAGCCTGCCACACTGCTGCAAACTTGATAACAATACTGTACACCCGAAGGAAGGGACCCAGCCTGATGACCCTTAGAAGCCCTGTGATGACTGGTCTCAAAGCCCCAACCCAGGGCCGAGACATCCGTACACACATCAAGCGATGGAGGAGGAAGGCACTATTAAACCGAACCCCAAGGGTTTCCCAGAAAGAGCCATTTCATTACTTTCAACACTGTTTTTATTAGCATGATACATTTTATTATTAAAATAAAAAATATATATTTTATGTACAGTATATAACAGACTTGTAAATGGTATCTAATGATGCAGTTAAGTGTTTTGGGAATTCATTTTTTTATTCCTTTTAGGTGGTGAAGTGGATGAAGCAGAAATTGAAGACCTATTTGATGAGTTGGAGGACCTCAGTGATTCTGGTCCAGAAGTTGACACAATCTCCATTACATCGACACCAAAGCCTTCACTCCGGCCATACTTCTCCTCTTCTAGATCTCTTCTTAATGAAGGTCTCAGGGGGCCAGGTTAGGGTGTTGTAGTAGGATTCGGGTGGGATTAATATTCATGCTTAGATGGTGTCATAATAAGGCACAGTAATAAACATTTGGGTGGGATGGACATTATTAGGAGAAGCTTTGAGTTATGGGCTATTGTTAAATTTTCATGAGAAGCAAACTTCAAGAAGCAGGAAGGTTTGTGATGATAAATAAGTCTGCAAGTTGCTTTAGATGTTCAGTAAATTTGAGAATGGCTGACAATGGTAAGCAAGTCTGAGAATGGCTGATGACTTTAATTTCATGTTATACTGTATTTTCTTGTCTTTCATTAATATATACCACTTAATTCAATTATTTTTATTTAATATTTTTTCATGTTTTGTCTTATCTTTTATTTGTAGTTTGTATATCCCAAGCCAAAATCGATTAATCCATTTTTTCGCAGATAGCAAATTTAAATGAAACTTCTTTTCAGATGTTTTTTAATATTTAATATCTCAAAATATTTAAAGATATCCTGAATATTGTTTTAAATTTATCCCAATTCATCAGCTTCATTTTTACTGGTTAATGGCACTCAAAAATGCATAGAAACGTAACTATTTCTTGATAAATTGTAAGGTTTTCTGTGGGGATCCCTGTCAGCTTCCTGAGCTATTGGACTGATATATGCTATATTTGTCCAATATCTCCAGGGAGCCTCCAGGGCTCGCCTAGAAAATGGCGTTTCATTACATTCAGTGCTGGTTTTTTAATGTTTTGTTAAAAAATATATAGTTTTGTTAGGTAGTGGCATTCATATAGCATTTTTAATGATGTTCAGAACTCTGTTATGTGGAAAAGCTTTAACTATCATAATTGTGTCGGTAAATGGAACTGTTAACCGCTACGTCTTCTGTTGGCCTGGCTATAGGAAACACCTAATTAAGTGTTACTTTCATTTGTACGAAATAGCAGATAAATAATATTATATAATAGGTTGAACATCACATTAAATTTTTACTATGCAGTGCCTTGAACATTCAACCAAGAGAGAAATTTCACTGTTAATTTACCTAATTAGATAAAACCAATCACATCTATATTAGTAATCTGGAAAAAGGTTGTAGGTGTTATTACCAGTTATTACATTCAGGCAGTCCTTCATTTACAAATAGGTTGTGTTCCGAAAATTTGTTCATAAAGCAGTTGTTCGGAATGTGAAATCAGATTTCTCATAGGTGCAATGCTGTTAATAGTGGGGGGGGGGCATTCAAAGACATTCAAATAATATTCACATAAAACCAATATTTTGGGAACACATGGTATAAGAAGCTTTGCATATTACTTATCTAAAAGCAAGAATTATCCTGCCGTTGAAAGTTGTTGTTTTTTAAGAGTGACAAGGGTTTAATTACATGAATAAATAAATGAAAATACCTGTATTGGGAGTCAGCCATTTTTAATTTGTCACATGAGCAAGCCCCTCTCACCCTTCTTCCATTAACAACCCTCTGACCCCATCCCATCAACAGGGTGAACATGATCAGAGACTTGTTACATTCATGTGATTGTGGGTTACTGGGAACTTGACAGATACCAATCTCAGCATTTTCATCTTCCTAACACTACTACTCCCATAAAGATTCCTGACACCTACTCCCGACACCAACATAAATTCCCAACACCCACACTCACTTCAGACTCCCAAACTCTTCCAACACCCATTCCTGATGCCCATACCCACTCCTGATGCCCACACCCACTCCTGATGCCCCACACCTACTCCCACTCCTGACACCCACACACACTCCTGACACACTCACCCACACCTGACACGCCCACCCACACTCACTCCCGACACACACACTCCTGACACACACATTCACTCTTGGCATGCACACTCACTTCTGGCACGCACTCTCACTCTCAACACGTACACTCCTGACACACACACACTCACTGCCGACACACACACTCACTGCCGACGCACACTCTCACTGCCGACACACACACACACTGCCGACACGCACACTCCTGACACTCACGCACACTCCCGACACGTACACTCAATCCCGACACACACACTCCCAACACGCACACTCATTCCCGACACGCACACTCAATCCCGACACACACACACTCCCAACACGCACACTCATTCCCGACATGAACATTCCTGACACGAACATTCCTGATATGCACACTCGCTCCCGACATGCACACTCGCTCCCGACATGCACACTCATTCTCGACACGCACTCTCTCTCTCAACACACACTCCTGACATGCACACTCCTGACACACACACTCCTGACATGCACACTCCTGACACGCACCCTCCTGACATGCATACTCGTGACACGCACACTCCTGACACGCACACTTCTGACACGCACCCTCCTTACATGCACACTCCTGACATGCACACTCATTCCCAACATTCCCAACATGCACACTCACTCTTGACAAGCTCACTCACTTCCAATGTCCACGAGTTGCTCCACTCCCAACATCCACACCCACTTGTGACATTTACAACCACCCCAGACACCCACAAACACCCCAAACACCTCACAACCATCCCAGACACCCTCAACCACCCCAGACACCCACAACCACCTCAGACACCCACAACCACCCCAGACACCCACAACCACCCCAGACACCCACAACCACCCCAGACACCCACAACCACTCATGGCACAACTATTCATGTAATGAAAAGTTGAATTGGCCTTGCATAGTAGGCCGAGAAGTGCGTTCTGGCTACTAGGTACAACATACATATATATATATATATATATATATATATATATATATATATATATATATATATATATATATATATATATATATATATATAATATTATATATAATATATATATAATATTATATATAATATATAATACTGTATAGTGGATTGAGCTACAGAAACGGGGGCTTGAGAGGCTATTCATATGGGCAGGTGTTCGTAAAGTGAGAAATGCTGAGAAGGTAAGCACTAATACAGTGCATTTACCTAATACAGTATGCAATCAGTGCCAGCTTTTTAATACATATTTGGTCATAAAGCTTGCTTACTGTCCTTTAACAGAACTATATCTTTTCCTCGAAGAGAATGATTTTATCCAAAATGTCAGCACATTGTTAATACACTTGAATTACATTTCATGATTCACTTATCACACTTACTTGTTTAGCTAAAAATATTAATACTATAGTATATCTATTTAGTATAAGCTTTGTATGTTGGTGCTTGAAACAAAAATCATTCTCAGAGGCAAATTAAAGCATTCTGTTTTATCTTTTATAACAATGTAAAACTTCATTAAGTAGCAAATTTGTAGCTTATTCATGTACAGTACAGTACTGTATATTCAGCATATTTGCATGCCGAGGGTGTAATTGTTTTGGATAATGATGAGATAATGATGAGAACAACTTATTCGGAGTTTTGTTTTCTTTGAACTTTTCACACTCGTACAAATTTATGAGAAGAAATAGTTATGAACATCACCATCCACACTTTTTATTTATATTATAAATTACAACATGCAGTTGATGTTTGTTTCTTGTGGCATTTGTAGCAATGTGTGTGGCATTATTAGCTCTTCAGATTATTGGTTGTGTAATTTTTTGTAAACCTTATTCACTATATATTGTCCATCGTAGAGTGGTTTAGTATACAGAGCCATTGATCACCGATTGCACTGATTGTGCTGATGAAGTCTTTCTCCAGCATTTTTTGGTTTGCATTATGGCTTTAATATGACTTTTTATATTTATAATTCAATTTGTCAGATGTACTGAAGTAAACAGGTCATCCAGGTGAGGTACACGTCAATAATTTTTTTTATCTTTGCCCAAATGAGCTTTATTTTTTCCTTAAAGTTCATCAATTGTTAAAATTGAGATAATTTCTTCTAAATTTCACAATTTATTTGCTCCATTTATTTGCAAACATTTATTTCATCTGAACCATAAGATTTATTGCATAAAGTCTTAAAAATGCTAAAACTTGTATATATTTTCTCTCGTGCATTATAATATTAGTGAAAACTCTGGTATGGAAGCTCCCATTAATTTTTTTTTTTTTAACAATCTTCATGGCAATTTACTTGGATTGAACTATTCTTTCAGTATTTCTGTTCAGATTGCTGGAAATCAATAACAAATTCCAGATATTTTTGGAAGCAAGCTTTCTTTCCCACTCATATTTTATTGTGTATTGAATTGTCAAGTATTTTATCGGTATTTATTACATCAAAATTTCAGTTATCTCTCAACCTGAATGTCACTAGTGATGAACACTACTGAATGGCTTCTTGAGAAACAGTTTAAAGTGGGACATATTGTCGATTTAATGAGTAAAAATAACTGTTACAAATTAAACAGCTTAGGATATGTTACTAGTATTTCTCTTCAATGATAAATAGTTTTCATGACTAGCTCTTGTATTACCAAATACTTATGGTTAAATTTCACAATAATTTTGTTGTTTGAATAGCAGATATGCCACCTTATTCTTTATTCTAAGAGCATGTTTTCTTGAACAGTGGAGCACATAGAGGCATCTAGAGACGAAGTGGAAAAATTATCAAAGAGCAAAGAAAGACCAAAGCAGTTGGCCCAGATGGAGTTTCACCATAGGTTCTGAGAGAATGTGCACCTGAGTTCAGCATTCCACTTCAATTGATTTTTCAGGCATCCCTGTGTACAGAAGTCCTAGCAGATGTTTGGAAAAAGGCTAACATAGTTCCAATCTACAAAATTGGCAGCGGGGAAGATCCCCTCAATTATAGACCTGTATCATTGACTAATGTAATAGTCAAAATAGTGGAAAAAATAATTACAACAAATGGGTAAAACACCTGGATAAAAACTATATAATAACAGACATACAGTATGGTTTTCGATCTGGAAGATCCTGTGTAACAAATTTATTCAGATTCTATGATCGAGCCACAGAGATTTTATAGGAAAGGAGTGGTTGGGTTGACTGCCTCTATCTAGACTTAAAAAAGTCTTTCAACAGCGTTCCACATAAGAGGTTGTTCTGGAAACTGGAATATATTGGAGGAGTGATGATAGGCTTCTTAACATGGAAAGAAGCAGTATTAGGGCAGTAATCAGAGTCAATGTATTGGACTGGAGAAATGTCAGAAGTTGAGTACCACAGGGTTCAGTTCTTGCACCGGTACTGTTCATTGGCAACATAAAAGATCTACCAGATGGAGTATAGAATTATATGAACAAGTTTGCTGATGATGCTAAGATACTAGGTAAGATAAGAAACGTAAATGATTGTCATGCTTTTCAAGAAGACCTGGATAAAATAAGTGTATGGAGCACCACTTGGCAAATGGAATTTAATGTGAATAAATGCCATATTATGGAATGTGGAATAAGAGAACATAGATCCCACCAACCTATAAATTACGTGAGAATTCTGTTAAAGTCAGAGATCTAGGGGTGATTCTAGATAGAAAACTATCACCCGAGGACTACATAAAGAACATCATGCAAGGAGCCTATGTTACACTTGAAATTGTAGCCTATGCCACAGTTTCTACTTTGAAAATTGCTTTTAAACACTTGGATAGTGAAATACTAAAGAAATTGTTCACGACTTTTGTTAGACCAAAACTGGAATATGCAGCGGGTGTATGGTGCCCATATCTTAAAAAGCACATCAACAGACTGGAAAAAGTGCAGAGACATGCAACTAAATGGCTCCCAGAACTGAAGGACAAGAGCTACAAGAAGAGGTAAGAGGCATTAAATATGCCAAATCTAGAAGTTAGAAGAAAAAGAAGCGATATGATTACTATTTACAAAATAGTAACAGGAATTGCTAAAATTAATAGGGAAGAATTCCTGAGACCTGGAACTTCAAAAACAAGAGGTCATAGATTTAAACTAACTAGCTAAAAGCTGCCAAAGAAATACTAGTATAAGAAAATTCACTTTCGCAAACAGAGTGGTAGACGGTTTGAACAAGTTAGGTTAGAAGGTGATAGGGGCCAAAACCATCAGTAGTTTCAAAGTGTTATATGACAAAGAGTGCTGGGAAGACAGGACACCACGAGCATAGCTCTCATCCTGTACCTACACTTACATAATTAGTAACGATGAATACTATATACAACCATCAATGGCTCAAATATTCAATTTACCTCCTTAAGTCTTCACATTAATGGCTTAGAGATCACTTCTTCCATGGCCCAGTCTTCATCCAGACTTAGTTAAAGGAGGCCTGGATACCACCAACAGCTTGATGAGCTGGGTTTTGAGAAACTTGTCATCATCACTATTGTATTAGATAAATTTTATTGTGTATGACAGCATAACATGATACACTAATACAGTGCTAAGTCTTTTATGCTTTATCTCTCAATTTCTGCTGTATACTTTGTGTTATTAATATATTTTGGACAAAGGTTTTTAATTGGTAATTATTGCTTAGATTAAGAGTGTTCATTGCTGGTTTTTGTAACAGTTACTATTTCTCATTGATCCATATCTTGGATAGACTTCATGTAGTATTACAGTATTTACAGGCAATTAATAATATTTATTACAGCAATTTATAGTATTCAGGAGTATCATACCCATAAATACAATACTTCTTTATTTTTATTTCAAATGATCATTTCCATGCAGTGCTATCAAGCTCATAGCTACTATTGATCTTTATTTTTACTTTTATTTTTTTTGCAGTATTCTTCCGTTCACTAGTCCTTTACATAATACAATACAGAATACTTCAGTTTTGTTTAACGTTATCTCATTTGAGCAGTCTTAAATTATTTGTAGGTAATATTTACCTTCAAAGACATTGTCATCCTTCATCTAAACTAGATTCTCAAATAACATAAACAGTCTTGCATCGTAATCTAGTAACTGATTAAAAACAAATGAATGGAACTGTAAAATTCTGCTCTTTAACTTTTTATATTAAAACAACCTTTACCAGATTTCTATTGCAAGCAAAAGAAGCTAATTTTCTTATGTTAATACAGGGGGTACTTACCTACGATTGAAGGTACCAGGTGCGTTATGTCCTCGTGGTATTAAAGGTTGTCTTGGGCTGTTCTGTTTTGGCTGATTATGTTAGTGTGTGTTGCTTGGAGTTATAAGTTACATTGAGCTTATTAGCATATCTTGCTATGTGAAAGATTTTTACAGACATCCATTTATTGTACCCAAAATCAAAAGCAATTAAAGCAAATAGAGAAAGCTGTAAATATAGTATTTGGATTGATAATAAGCTCAGTGTAATAAGTCAACTTGATTATTAAATTAATATCATTGTCTATATCCTCCCCTAAATTGTTTAACCCCCTCTGTGACCTATTAATTGTATATATATATATATGCCTGCTGTATCTTGTTGCATCATACCCTTTGTGTAGACAGTATGATTTTCAGTAAGAGTTAAAAAAATTTAAAGATTAGTGGAATTACTTCTTAATTAAATACATCAACAACTGATACAAAACAAATTATTTGTAAATACTGTAAATATCATGTTTCTTCCTTGAATCCACCTTCTATGGAAGATTTGAAACTTAGTCAGTACCCGTGCTAGGCAAATACAAATTAACTTGGTGCTTAGGGCTTTGAGCAGCTCGATGGGGCCTCTTACTTGCTGTACATTTTTTAGGCTCTATGTAATTAGTATTTGTTTAATTAGTTTACATAATAAGTTTAATAATATGTGTTGTGTGGGGAGACAACAGAAGGGGAGAAGGTGGGGAGAAGGAGGTAGTCAGGAAGGTATTTTGCAAGAATAGGAAAACAAAAATTGGCATGGATATAACGCAGTCACTAATACTGAACATGTCCATAAAATGCATAACATTGTTGGCATCTGCTTAACCGCTAAACATTAAGATGTCTTTTAAAAATTTTAACAGAGTCCTTCAGGACAATATACACAGCCATCATTAGACTAATTCTGAAATATGCAGCACTGACATGGAGTCATCACCCTGTGAAGCTCAATAAGAAGATTGAGGAAGTTCAGAAGTTTACAACAAGGCTGTAATAGATAGCAATCTGAAATAGAATTAAGCTATGAAATCAGTTTAGGGGAGCTCAGCATAAGACAGAAAGTCCTTCTGTCTTCTTGGATTGGGATGTTGAGCTCCCCTAAACTGATTTCATAGCTTAATTCTTCCCCAAATAATTTGGGAGAGTTCTGTATCTCAGTATGGTCTTCAGTTCCAATTTCTTACTGGGTGGGGTTTGTTTTGTTATGCCTACCTTTCTGGGTGCGTAACCCTGGTCAATGGCAGACATGAAATGTTCCCAAACATATGGGGGGTTTCCATAGATCATTGCTCCCTGTGCCTCTCTTAGGGGGCCAGGTTCTGGCTCATGGTCCCCGGTAGGCAGAACTCCATTGACTGATGCCCCAGAATAATATAGCGTATATCAGTTCGGTAGCTCCAGGGAGCCTCCGGGGCTCACCCAGAAAATGGCGTTTCATTACATTCAACGCTGTTTTTTTATATTTAGTCGAGAAGGTACAATAGGTGGTGTAAGTACAGATTTTTGTAATCAAATGATATATTCTTGCAAAGCCATGATTAATTTATAATTTTTGTTTATTTTGTTTCCATGTGATATTCTGAGAAAGCCTCGTTTGCTGAATTGAAATTAACAGGGCTTATATACGATAATCAAATTCAATTTCCTTTCGTTATAGTTCAGTGTATCCCAGTCAACAACTTTTTATTGATATTTTTTATTTTGTGTGTGTATATCAAGTTTAATATTGTATGTGTATGTTATGTTATGGGTGAAGAGAATATTTTGTTTTAAGAATATGACAAATCTTGTTTGTTTTGTTTGGAGCCAGGAATACCTTCTTTGAATGACTGTGATTAAAAAACATATTCAGTTTTTATATTTTAAGTCAGGTATGACAGTAGGAAACTCTGAGGTGGCTATAACTCGATATTGAAAGAATTTACGAAACCATGCTACCTCTGAATCTTGTATTGTTTTTGTGCCAAGTGCAGTGTGAGATAATAATTTTTAATATTTCGCTCTCTGACTTGCAGTACAGCATTTTCTTAAATAAATTATTCCATGAGCTTTTCTTTCCATGGTATCAGCAACCAAACAAATAGCCTATTTTCAACCATTAGTGCGTGAATAAGTGAACTTATTTATAATACTTTACATTTGCTATTAGAATATGCCAATATAGTACAGATCATTGCATCATTGATTATATAATGTGTAGTATAGTGGTACCTTCATTTGCGAATTTAATCTGTTCCTAGAGACAGCTCGTAACCCGAAACGAATTTTACCATAAGAAATAGTGTAAGTGTAATTAATCCATTCCACGCTTCCAAAAATAATAACTTCAAAATACATTTCATATATAATAAACACAAATACTTTGTACTATAGTATGTACAAGTTATAACTTACCTTTATTGATCACTTGTTGGCGTATGGAAGATGGTGAGGAGAGGGAAAGGAGAAGAGGTGTTAGTATTTGGAAGGGGAGTTCCCTTCCATTATAACATCAGGCAGTGATGACTTCTCTGGGGTACTCTCTCTCTCTCTCCTATGTTTTGCCTGCATCCCACTGGGACCTGGTTGAGGCTCACTGCTTATTTGTCTCACTAAAAACCTTACCATAGATACTTGTTTATCCTCTATGGTCCTCCTCACATGTGTTTTCATGGGTTGAACCTTACCACTGACTTTCTTGGGACCCATGGCATGGTATATAATAATTACTTTTATGGTTAGAAACCAAAAAATCTGAAAAAAATTAAATTCTTTACAAAAAATTCAATCCCGATCGTCACTCTGCTGGAGGCACTGTTAAACATAGGCGCAGTCGCCCATTCTGCCAGGAACTACGCACTCGGTCGACCCATACGTGTATCAAGAAACTCGCAACTCGAAGCAAAGCTTGTAAACTGAATCAAATTTTACAAAGAAATTGAGCTCATAACCCCAAAAATTTGTAAATAGGGCCATTCGTAAGCCGAGGTTCCACTGTATGTGGTTTTTACTGGAGCAAGATTTTATGTTCAAGCTCTGAGTTAAAAATTTTAACATAAAAGTTAATTTATGATAAACATTGAATTTGAGTATTTTATAAACTTAAGGTACAGTGATGAAATATTGTACTTGTATAGTATTAGGAATTCATTGGTTTCAAGTTTGAATCTTTCCAAAAAGTAAAGTTAGTGAAAGTTTGAGCTAGTTATCAGAGTGTATAACCATATCCTCACAGGCTCATAAATATTCCACCAAATGAGGAAGATATGTTTTCATATCTCATGCTCTGTGTGGTTATGATTAAAGACTCAAGAACAGGTTTACTTGGGACTTTCTATATAATTGCCAAACTTCCATGAGAAATTAGGAAACATAAGTTTCATGCTAAGGAAACTGCTTAACAAGTGTGATAAAAAATTGTAATGTGGATTTCATGAATATTTTTTTAGTTCATATTGATTCTTGGTGGAAGATTTAGTATGACTAAAGCACCTAGAAATGATACTGCTATCAATTTTGAAACTTACAGGTAGAGTACTGTATAGTATAGTGAATACCCTGTTTTATGCAATATGTAAATGAATTGAGCACTTGAATACATACCTTGTAGTTACATGAGGTAGTGTTTGTAGTGCATGATGTAGATATGATTTACTGCAGTACTTAGAAAGTTAGAAGGTAGGAATATGTCCTGGAATGAAGCTTGGATGTAACAATTTGAATGCAGTTTTATGTGCTTTCATATGTTTTGTTTTAAATATTTAAATGTATTGTACCTGGATGTGGTGTTTAGCACAGTATTTTAGTCAGCTAGTACATGGCATATGTAGTGGGTCAGTTCTTGTTATATATGGAACTAATTATTTTTACTTTTCTTGATATCCAATTGAAGATTTGGCAAGCTTTATCAAATATTCTGAGCAATGTAATTGAATCTTGGCACTTGAGGTAGGTAGGGGTATTTATTGAAGATTCTGTAAATTTCTCCCTTCATTAAATATGGATATGACATTAATTATGACACCCATGGCTGGTTTAGATGGACTGATTTTCCTTCTTAGTTGTGGATGATGAAGCGTTATACTAATACAATATATCAGGTTTATTTAAATAGTAATTTACATTAGTGTATGGAAGCAATTCAGAGTTATATTTTATTAATTGGGAAATACAGGATCATTATGTACTTTTCTGTGTTCTTTCACGATATATACAAAAAGTTATTAGTGTTTTTAACAGTGAAACAAGCCTGTTTTTAATACTGTCTATTTACAATTTGTTTTGTGGCATATATGATTTAATTAGGTGCTTTACATAGCAATGTTCTGGATGATTAGATATTTAATTTACATTAACAAAATATGAGATCTCTTCCCTGAAATGATATTCAGGTTCTTCATCCTAACACAGTTTATTTGATGTACAGAAATATACATTATTACAAAAATGATTTTGTCTGTGAATTTTGCTCTAAAATCATATTCACACTCCAGCAGACAAAGCGGGCGCAGACAGATTAAGTGACGAAAGTAGCAAAAGAGCAGACAGTGATCACATGGAGAACTGGACGGACCAAGAGCATTCTGATCCCCAGTGCTTGGCTTCTTCCCCACCCAGAGAAGACAAGAATAAAAGGTGGGATTTCCTGAATGAAGAACTCAGGCTTTTGTGAAATTTAAGTTGTTAATGATAAAGTGGAATATTTGTGCAAACCCTATTATCCTAGATGATCAGTGAACTCTAGTTGAAAGGACAGTAAATTTGGATGAACCCAATGTTAGTTCAGATTCCATGCAGGATTGCAATAATCTCTGTAGATATTTAACAAATTGATTAATGAATGTTTAACAGTGAAAAATGGTTCTGTGGGCAAAATAATTAATAAAGTTTATTTGATTTCTAAGGTTATTTGAGATTATTCAAACTACTTGAGATAATTTAAGGCAGTTCAGTTTTCAGACTGCTGTTTAGAATTACTTGGGCTCAATTAATTTGTTAAATATATGATAATTCAGTTGTATAATATACTTAAATGTAAATATTTTCTATTCAGACCACTTAATTACATTCATAATTCAAAATATTGTATAACAAAAACATTTCATTGTTTGCCTTGAAATTTAAGCATATTGCATATTTCAAATTGATTGGCCAATGTAAATAATGTTTGTTTCGTAAAATTATAGATTAAGAAATTTTTCCTGCTTTGGTTGGTAAGCCCCAAACATTCATGAAAACACAAATGTGGGAATGGTAAAACCCTTGGCCCTCCTACTATTGATCATTCTTTTCTGTAGCCACATTCATACTACTGCAGTATTTTGCATTTTTACTGCTGTAGCACAGCATTCATTCTATTGCAACACTCCATTTTCACTGTACTATATTCCATATTTATTTATGGAATGGCCTGTCCATAGCTTGGCCTGCTAAACCTTATGGAATCACACCAGACCTCTGAGATCAACCCAAACCTACCAGAAGCCATGACCAAAATCTGGCTTTCTGTAAGATGATGGAAGCTTGGGGATCGAAGATCAATCTAAAAACGAGGGAAACAATTTCTGCCACGCAATAAACGCGGAACCTGGCTGCCACCACACCTCTCTCTCATGCATCTCCTATCTCTCACATCCTCCCTCCCAATTTGTTCAGCCATTCATGATATCCATTACCTCACAATTGGAGGAAAAACTTTGGGCCATCGCCATCTTGCCAATATACTTTGCTACACATTCCAGCCATGAGATATAGACTTTATTCAGTTGCTTCTGCCTCAACACAGTATGTAATATTTACTAATTTACAAACGGTGAGGTCTAACATATTCATGACATGACTGGCAGACTTGAGAAATGACAAGAGGCACTGCACCTCATAACACTGGTGGTTGTGAGAATGGCCGTCTATGTGTACCCGGATGTTCCTGGGCAGTGTTCCAGGGTGTTCTCAGAATGTTATGTCAGGATGTTCTTGGGCCATGTTTCTTAATGCTCCCTGCTGTTACCAAGCTGTGTACTGGGTTGTTTCTGGGTTGGGTTCTGAGAGCCTCCCGGGTGTATTGAATGCCAGGCTCTTCTGCCTGTTAAGTTTCTTAGCCTACCTCTGGGCATTTTGGTTTTGTTCGGTTCATAGTCTGTATCATGATAGTACAGCGATTTAAATGCTAATGCATTCATAAGTACTATATCATTACCCTTTTTTTCACTTTCATGGAATGGAAAAGCATAAACTCTGAGAAGAAGGCATTGTATAGTTTTAAGGTTTACATTTTCACATTTGGTTTTCCATACCTGAGGACAGGAAGCATATTAAGAGAATTGAGGTTTTAGTCCATCTACTGACCTTCTCCAGGATACAACCCACAACAGCTATCTAATTTTGTTATACCTATTTACTCATAGGTGAACAGAGGCATCAGGTGAAAGGAGCATTGCCCAAATGCCATGAAAATGTCCTGCCATGAAAATTGAACCTAGAACCTACTGTGACCTGACTGTGCTGGCCGCAGGTTTAAGTCGGAGGTTTAATATGACTTCCAACCATCTAAGGTGCTCTGCCATGCAGAACCTATTTGTGCAAACCAAGACTGTCCCAAGTTAAAATGCCAAGAAAATCCAGCAATTCAATATTTCAGAAGTGCAGTACTGTACTTAGAGGGGGAATATACATTTCAGTACTACAGTATATTCAAATGAAAATTTATAGTAACCTTACCACATATGTGATAATACAGCTACAGTATTTAAATACTGTACATACATACAATACACACATTTGTTATTATTACCCCATTTACCACATTCATAGCAGGGGAAGGCATCAGCCCATGGATAAAAAGTCAATAACATTGTAAAAGAAGGCTATGGATATTATATAATGAAACCTTTGATATATCACTCATTCATTTATCGCATCATTCACAATTCAAAATACTTAAAGTATCATTATATAAATAAATGCTATCACATTTGAACAGTCATCCACAGTACCAACCCACTGCTTCCTAAGACTACATAATAATAATTCATTTTTTTTAAACACTGTTTTAAGTCTTGAACACTGAATGATTTGGAAGTAATCAGCATCTACCTCTCAGTTTCAGGAGAGAGCAAGACATAACATAATATGTATTTAGAGGACTTGTAGCTCATTTAATATGTTATAAAGTGATTTTGTAATACTGTAATTTTATTTGCATGGTTTAAATATTTCAGCACATTATAAAGTTCTGTGATTTTTTTTTTACAGTAACAAGAATAAACTGTTTAACAGAGATCGCAGTAATATGTCATTAAAAGAACGGAAAAGTATATCATCTACAGGAGGATCAACACCTCGTCAAGAAAAGATGGTTGTTGAGCGCTCTAACTCCAGTGCCAATGTGGATTCTAGTGTGAGTAATACTGTTTTAGGTTTAATTACTATAGATAGTAATTACTCTTGCAAATAACGCCAGATATCAATCTGATGAGGGATGCATTTCTTGGAATTTCATTCAAAACAAATCTGTGCACAGCAAATTTAACTTCTTTATATGAAAATACAGTATCGGTGTGTTCCTAACTGTCTGGTAATGGAACACCCACATACCTGGAGAGGGTTTCGGGAGTTCTTCTACTCCCCGAGCCTGGCCATAAAGAAACACTTAACAAAATTAGAAAAGGTTCAAAGATATGCAACAATACTCATTCTTGAACCAACTGGACTAGACTATGAAGAAAAACTGAAGGAGTTGGACCTTATCATGCTGGTAGAAAGATGGAAGACACGATAACCACATTCAAGATTCTAAAGGGGACTGACCAGGTAAAGAAGCAATGTTCAAGGAAAGTATCAGCAGAATGCTGGAATGTTGATGGAAACTGGAGACACAAATAAATGATAGAGATGTCAGAAAAAACTTTTTAGGAATTGGTTATAAATAAATGGAATGGACTAAAATCAGTGTTAGCACTCATCACAACAAACTATATAGTAACCTATTTGCTGAAACATGAATAACAAATCATACATTTAAAGTCAGTTCATAAAATTACCTTTTATTTTTTGGACATATGGCTTCAGGGACAGGAATATATCATATGTAAGACTGGACATATTGTATCATGTTTAAAGCTGATATTGATAATGTATGAGGAATTTTGGTTATATTCCTTCATATGTAATGTGTTACCTAATGCTAATTGAGTTTTATGTAGAAGTAATTTAATGGCTTTTTAAAATGCAGGCCAAAAATCTTTAATACTAAAACAAGGACCGTATTGTGTGGAGGAAATATATAATCTGCTATTTTACAAAGTTAGTCTTGCAGAGCAGCCTGATAACAATGGGTATAAATTGGATAAGTTTAGATTTAGGAAAGACTTGGGTAAATACTGGTTCAGTAACAGGGTTGCTGATTTGTGGAACCAATTGCCGTGTAACGTGGTGGAGGTGGGGTCCCTCAATTGTTTCAAGCGCGGGTTGGACAAGTATATGAGTGGGATTGGGTGGTTATAGATAGGAGCTGCCTCGTATGGGCCAATAGGCCTTCTGCAGTTACCTTTGTTCTTATGTTCTTATAAGGTATAGTGGTTAGCACATTTACCTCACAGATGAGAGGATATGGGTTGTAACCCCTGTTATATTGGGATAACTAGAGACTGCTACTTAAGTCTGTGCTCTTCTGTGTACCCAACAGTTATTGTAACTTTAATGTAAACCAATTAGCAGAGTAAATTCCAGGGAAAATGTGGCAGGGAATATCCAAACTCAAGGCCTAAATCTCAACCTAAAATACAAATTTTTTCTAACATCATTAGCTTCTCTGATCAATTATATATGCAAATGTATAGTAAATTGGTTTTAAAGCATAAAGGGCTACATTAATTGCACATACATTCCCCTTTAAATTTTCAATAATTACCTATTCCTTTGCAATGAGCATTAATTGCAAGCACTTAATGTGTAATGTGTACAGTGTTCTATTTTGTCTTATGTCACCTGCTTGTAGACTCAATACTGGCATCTAGTTTGAAATGTTCTTTACTGAATATTTTGAACATCCATCAGAATAACATTTACATGGAGAATACTGCCCTTACTAGTATTCTCCTTGTGTTTTTGCTGTGTGTTTCATATGTCTGTTTTTATTTTATCCCTTACGTGTGTCATTCAAATTAACAAACTATAAATTCTTTTAACAAAATACCTGGACACTTTTTGTTTTTGTTTATATAATTTGCACGGTGAAAGCATTTCACACTTGGGTGGGTAAAGCAATGGGTGCTGCTTTGGGTATATTACTGGAGACTGGCAATAGTGGTTATGTGTGATGCTGCAGGAAATAGTGTAGAAACTGGCAAATAGATATGGGGGGGCCATTTTTTGATGTTTGTATAATTCTTTATTATATTTGCTCTATTCTGAACTGATATGCTTGATTTCCTGCCCCCACCCCCCCATACACCATGATGGAGATGAATCTTTATCTGGTGAAAATGTTTAAAAATACTTTATACTTGGAGGAAATTGTTTTTAAATTGTAAGAAATATGTTCTGTAATATATTTTGTATTGGAGATTAATGTATGTTCAGATGAATAAGTCTTTTGGTGAAAGATGTTTGAATGTGGGGATATCTATGGTACATGGTAAGATATTATTGAAAGTAGTACATAAATAACTTTATTTTTTTTTAATTAAAATTGGAAACCACCTTTCAAATTATTAAACCAATTGACAAATACTATAATTAAACAATGCTTGAATACCATATGTGAATTTTCAGCCGAGAAAGGTTTTGTTGGAACAGCTGGCACGCGTACTACCACTGGAAGACGTACAACTTCCTGACCATGTCGTCCTTGTAAACACTGGAGACTCCCATGGTGCACTACTGGCTGCACATCTCACGGAACACGGACATCGTGTTATTACAACTATGGCCTTAGCTGATGTTAGGGCTACTATCTCTCATCTAGTAAATAAATTGCAGAAATTGTAAGTATAATTTTTTAGTGCATGCAAGATGATGACCTAAAAATACAATGGTTAGTGAAGCTAATCCATTTCATTTAAATCTCTCATATTGTCCAGTATACTGTACTTCATTCCACATGATCACAAAACACTGATCATTTGTATGCGGAAAATCCACAGAGAAATGGAAAAGAAAGATGAACGTTTCGGCCGATCAAGGCCATTGTCAACACCAGACGATCGGTCTGGTGTTGACCATCTGCTCAAAACCAAGACAGTTTTGAGCAGATGGCAACATGCAGGATACAGTACTCCTAAATTAGTTTGTATACCTCAAATTCATTTGTAGACTTGTAGAATTGTTTAAAACATCTGGTTGCATTAATGTAAAAGTGAAACAATCACCACTTACAGAAACAGTGCAGACGTCTTCCAGCTGAAGGAAGGAAACACTCAAAGGCACAAAGGAAAAAAGAAAGAAAGTCGTATACTTATACAGTGATCAGGTGGTTGAGAAATTTAAGTATTCCATTAAGTGGCATTGCTGTGTGAGGGTGCTTGTAATCAAAATGGTACTACTATGTGTAAAACCAAAGTGGCACTGCTGTGTGAGTGTAATCAAAATGGAACTGACTAAAAGTGTAACCAGAGTGGCACTGACTGTCAAAGTGGCACTGTAAAAGTGTAATAAAGAAAGAGAGCTGTTGAATGGGGAAAGGGAAATGTATTTTTACTTCCCCCTGCCACTGCTTCCATATATGTCAGAGGCTAATGGTCTACTAGCACTCAAGAGCATCTACTAGTTTTGAATTCATGTCTTTGTAAAATGGTGTAAAAATTGAACGAGTTGTGATGGTGAAGAGGTAAAAAACTTAGTTCATCACCGAGTCACGACTGCTGACTAATTTCACACACAATATTGATCAGTTTACAATGAGAACAAATTATTATGTGCAATTGTCTATGAATTACTCTAACCAAATATTGGTTGTAATTGTCCTCCACAGCTGCAACAGCAATTTAAAGGCACCAGGCCCCATGAAGGTGGTGGTGGTGGGATCTGATCTATACATCAGTTGTGTGTTACGGCCCTATGTAGACCAGTTCTCTTCCAAGCCACCAGACTTCCAAAATCATATTAGATTTCTCATCATTCCTCTTGGTAAGTGTAAGGCAACAAACGTTTGTCAAACTATAAATGAGCTAAGACACAAGATACATTTAAGTTAATATAATCCCTGTTAATAATGTATTGCTTTTGCTCCTATGACCTATAGGAAATAAATGTAATGTATGCATATTCAGTCAGATTACATTCGCTCAAGATTTCTTGACGTTTAATATTTTCTCCTATTTCAATAAATAGCCTTTATGAAAAAAAAATGTAAATTTTTTTACAGGTGTAAATAGTTTAGCAAAGTACTTAGGATCCATAGACTCTGTTTATGGTGAAGCTTTTGTCAGTGAATCATGGAGAGAGGTTGTAGAACGCTGGGAAAAGCCTGATGTACAAGAAGTTGTTAACCGCGTCCATCACTACCTCACACAAGCACAGCAAACATTACATCTGCCTATTGCTGAGGCTATGCTTACTTACAAGGAAAAGAGGTGAGAAACCTGTAATATTGTATTTATAAACACTGAAACAAATTGTTATACTTTTATACTTGACTAACCACTCTCAGCTGTAATGCTATGTATATAGCTTTAGTAGTATATTTCTTTTCCTATCATATAGCTATTTTGATGAGCAGTGGCTTAAAAGATAGCTACACCATTTCCAATTGTTACCATTCATGATGTAGAGGGATTTCTGAGGGAGATCCTCCTGTTGGCTTCCTGGAGCTATCTCTGTGAGATTGCCCCATTCTAGTGGATCACATCAGATGAAGGAGTTCTGTTTGGCCTACTGGGTCCAGCACTTGGCACCTCTCACAGTGGCAGAGAGAGTGAGTGACAATTTGCCACCCAACCAGGAATGCTTTCAAATTCAACAAAACTTTACAGACAGCTGGAGGATTCACAGAATTTGAAGCCTCGAAACTACCAAACAACTGAAATTTATTCGCATGAGATAAGAGATGTACTTGAGCTCAAAACTCATTAGTACGGATTGCCACCAACTGGCAGCCGGCTGCTTCCCACACCCAGCTTCTCTGGTCAGTTTAGTTGCTGAAGTTCTGATGGAAGGTTCAACTGGTAGTACTCTGGGTCCATCAGATGTAGTGAGTTCCTCTGCTTCAAGTTAAGTGCCAGCCATCTTTGGACTTTGTCCTGCAGGGGCCATTTGGTTTGTGTTTTCAAAGCAAATGTAGTAGCATTCCCAAACCTTCAAGTTTGGGATGCCACTACAGTACTCCTTTTTTACAAATCACTTGCGCTTTCTAGCCTTGAGTACTGCTCGTTACTCGCTTTCCCTTTCAAGGCAGGAGAGATTTCTGAAATAGAGGGAATACAGAGCACATATATGGCATGCATTTACACGACAAAGCACCTAAACTATTGGAACTGTCTCAAAGCTCTCAAAACTTACTTTTTAGGAAGGAGATGAGAGAGGTATCATATAATATATTCATGGAAAATACTGGATGGTCAGGTCTCAATAAGATGGTCACAGTTAAATAACAACATACTGAAGTGAAAGATGGTAAAAAAATGCAGAATAGGTCTGGTCATGAGTAGAGGTTGTAGTGGATATATCCACTACAACTGAGTTGTAGTGGATTTGTGGGCCTGCAGGCCACCCCAAGCAACAGATTGTTTGTCCAAGTTATCACAAGTCAAGCCTGGCCTCAGACTGGGCTTGGGGAGCTGAACAACTTTCAGAACTCTCTCCAAGTATACTCTAGGTTTCAGGTTTTTGCAGAGTTCTGAGAAAGTGCCTTGATTTCCTTTTGACCAAGACTGGTGCCAAGTCTGCAAGCGAATACATACTAGTTATGCAGGTTTTCTCATACTTGACTTTCTACTGTGCAGATAAGGCAAGATATGCTGCTTTTCTTGCTGTGTGGTGATGACCATACTTTTGAATTGTACCTGAGTTTGTTTCATTTTGGGTATTCTACTATTTCTTTGTGGCACCAGATCCCAACCTTGTCTTGGCTTGGGATAGTCCACAGCTTCATTTCTGGAAGTGTCAATATTCATGTCTCTTTCTATTAAGGAGAAAGAGGTTTCATCAGTCCTTAATGTTGCCTTAGCAGGACTCTCTTTGATCTCATAAACTTGCTGCAGTATGCTCCTATCTTGTTTGGTGATGTTGGATCCTAGCAGCTCCACGTTCAGGTTACCCTTTTGCATTTTGCTTTAGTATTGGTGGATTACAAGGCCCTGTCTCATTTGGTTGAGATAGTCTGTCTCGGGTCTTCTCTGCACAGGATTTAATTTCTGTGCTGTTACAGCATGAGCTTTTTTTTTCTTTTATATGTGTGTGTGTGCTATGGATTTTGTCTGGCCGTGTTGCATATATTTATGGGTACTGAAACTATGCCTTAAGTTATTCTCGCCACCCCTGCGTGATATGGGATCAGATTTCAATGCTACTTGTCTCATCTACAAATGGGTTGTGTTCAGCAATTTCCAGGAGTATGCTTAGTTGCCCTTGCTGTTGTTCATTTTTGTATCTGTGTAAGCTGATGCTTACAGCTGAGGGGGGCAACTTTTCAACCGCTTCACTTTGTATTCCGGTTGAAGGCCATTCTGTCATCTTACCTGAGAGTTGGAGTAACACTGGCAGTTTTTGGGGCTCCTGGATGTTGCACTGGTTCAAATGCACAATCGACTTCCTTGAGTGCTGACCCCTGTTTCTCTGATTCTTCAGATTGGCAGAATAGTTGGCCGACTAATACTGGTTGACCTTGTTGAAGTCATTCTGGACTCTGGTAGTTATTTCATGGTAAGCCTCGTCATGGTATGATGAATCTCACCTGGAATTGATCCCCCTGGCCATTCTCTGGTACAGTATTACGACATTCTGCCCAGCTGTCTACTCAACAATGTCGTTGGTGAATTTCGGACAAGGGATGATTGAGGTGATTTGGATTTCCTTCCAAATTTTCCTGTGACAAAAGGAGGATTCTAAAATGTTCAAGTTTATCCTCACTCTTTCCTGGCTCAATGTTAGGCTTAGTTCCTGGCTTAGACATTCCCTGTCTAAGATTCCAAATGACCATTTTGTCTTTGGTTCGCTTTGTGGTTCCAGATCAGTCTTGGCTTATTTTCCTGAAAGAAGAAGCTCTACACTTGAAGATCAGAGAAGAGCCTGGAACTACTTGAATAAATCTTCTGCATGAAGGACTGAATTGGCCATTGGGGAGCAAGCAGAATTACAAAGCCCACAAAGCTCTCAACTTCCTCAGGACTAATTGGAGTATCGAGGAAAAATAGATAATCTCCCATAGGTTCCAGTCAAGACATATTTGCATCTGCTGCAAGTGACCATGGTTTTGAAACAGAGCAACATATGCAGGCAGCATTTAGACCCACACCAATGCAAAACATGTGCACATGAGGAATGTTGAATTGGAATAAAACTCGTTCCACTTCCACTATCCATTGAAATTGGACGAAACCAAGTGAAGCTGTCTGCCAACACATTTGACACAAAAGCAATGTAGATTGAGGAGAGGACTAAACCCTGAGATGCTAGAAAAGAACAACTGGCCATCATCCAATGCCACAGGGAATAGAGCTACACAATCTGCTTTAATTATGCAACTCGCTATCTACAAAGTTTTTCTGAGTAACCAGGTATGTACTTTGAATAATTACATGTATATACACTAATATAATACAAGCATATTTAATCATGGAACATTTTTAATGTTCAGTGAATGCAGTCTTTAGATTACAATATTTAGTAGGATGGTTATAGATTATTAAATAGGTTCTAGTCAAAAATGTTGCTTGTATAGCATTAACAGACTAATGTTTCACACATGATTGTCAATGTAATATGTGACATTTCCAGTGGAGATGATGAATCATCTCAAGCATTTGTGCCATTCATAATGGATGTTCGGTTGGGAAGTGGTGATGTGACATCAACTTCAGTTGACCTTGAAGACCCTGCAACAGCTCCGGCAGCTGTTATACTTCCTGGTTCTCCTCCAGCAGCATCAACACCCACCACCGGACTTAATATTGATAAGACTCGGGAAAATACTACTCCACCGTCATCACCAAATATTAATAGTTCTCATTTAGTCAAGTAAGTGATTGAGCAAGTGTCATTTACCACTTAAGGATGTAGTGCAAAACACTTGCAGTTGTGTATGAGAGAATTTAATGCAGACCACTTTTAAGTGATGTAAAAATTAATTGTATAAATATTGATTTTCATGGATAGTCTGAACTCTAAAAATGCCGGTAATGTGGTGCAGTGATAAGTGCAGCTGGGTTACAGCCAGCTGCAAGGATTTCGGGTTCAATTCCAACAGCAGTACAGAAGCATTTGGACAACAATGAGTCACAGTAACATGACTGAAGATATGATGACCAAACCACACATCAGAAAATGGCGAAACGATGGCATTTTGGTCCGTCCTGGACCATTATCAAGTCGTATGTGATCATATGACTTGATAATGGCCCAGGATACCAGGTACCAGGTATCAGGTAACCAGGTATCAGGTACCAGGTATAAGGTAAAACCATTGTTGTTTCTCCATCTTCTTATGTGTGACAGTCATCATTTGGATAACAATTTCTTTCACCTGTTGTCTCTGTTCAACTAGCAGTAAAAAGATACCTGGGAGTTAGACAATTGTAGAGGGTTGCATGCTGGGGAAGATCAATAATTGGCCTGGAAGAACCTTAATAAACTTATCAGTCTTCCCATTCCTGTTAATGAGAAACTTAAAACAGTATCTGGAAATTCAATTGCATTCATAACACAATGAGGATTCAGCTTTGAAACAACAGCCATGTAATACAGTGCATTAGCATTGTTTTGATCTGAAGTGAGCACACTTAGCATATCAGTTCACCTTCCTTGGCATTCTTTGATATTTATTCATGTTCTTATATTTTATGCATAAATTTTCCCCGGCATTCTACCCAATGACCAACAAGCCACCAATGTGGCTTGTTGGTCAGTTTAGAAGAGCTTATCCTCTTTTATGGAAGCTGAACATATGAAAGTGTATCAATGAAGGTGAGAGACAAAACACCCATTGCTTAACAGCTCTTAAGTTGACAAACTAACTGTGCAGACCATCAAGAAGCCAAAACTAGCAATTAGCAAGGCTTTAAATAAAATAAATTACTGTGTGCACCAAATACATATATCTGTATGATATACTATTGTAAGTGACATACAGCTTGTTAGGTTTATCGAGGTTTCCCTAGCCATAGCTGAGTTTGTCCATATGGTCACCTACCCTGTTACTGGCCAGACCCAGCGATCTTTTACCAACACACTGAGTGATACAAACATCATCCACGGCACTACACAGTTTTCTATTTAAAATTGCAGTGCATCTTATTTCCTCAAGGAGGATGATCCAGTTACTCTTAAGTGTGGTTGCTGGTACTGACTAAGAGCTAAAATAGAGCTAAAACAAGAAATGAAGAGTTTGCTCCTTCTTCCATGGGTGTTTCTGTTCTTTGGTTACATTTATATTGCAGGCAGTAACTCACATTAATGTGAGTTATTAAATCTCATAGTTATAATTGAACCCTATTTCTATACTCCAAATCTATTCCCATACTTCAACCTTTTTCCTATTAATCAACCTTCTCTCCTTTCAACTCACTCTTACCATACAAGTTGACGTTCTGTACTACTGTACTTTCTTATATGACTTGTTTCAGTCCATCCTGGACTATTATTGTTGTCACTTCCTTTATTTTTAGATTTATGGCTTAGTTGTCTACATTTATATTGTTGTCCAACTGTTAAATATCAAATTTACTTGTTCTTTTCTTTATTCTAGTGCTCTTGTTTCTTCTGCCATCATTATATTTTTAGTGAAGCATTAATAGGTAACATGTTGAATATTTTAATTTAACCAGTGATAAATAAAAATCAATGACTTTTTCACATTTGAAAAACTTTAATAGTTGATGAAATCAAACTTTTATTCTCTACATGCTCCAATGATATCTTTTCTTCATCAGCTACAAAATTCTATCAGAAGGAATAGGGCAGGAGCCCCTCGATCTTCAAGTTGATTATTGGTTGGTGCGGGGATCAACTCGAGAAGAAAAAGAGAAGGACAAGGAAAAGGATAAGGCACGAGTTGAAGGTGGAAAATATACCCTTAAGACGAGCTTCCGAACTCTACAAGTAGCTCGGTTAGCACCGCTTGGTGTCACACATCCATTTGATCCCACCACGTGTCATCATTTAACACTATCTTTTGCCACTAAGGAAAAGAAACAAAGAAGTAAGTTGAAGTGTTCCTGAGAATAATTCATGTGAATTTTTTTTTTCACTTTAGTTATGGGATTAGGTTAGAAAGAAAGGGCAAAGAAAAGGTTAAGGCATTAGATAAAAGTGGAAAATATACCTTTAATATGTGCTGCTTGGCATCCTTTAGTGTTGTACATCAATGATGTTTATTTTATTAATGTTTTTCAAGAAATAAAAGATAATTTGTAGGCACTTATGCCATATAATTTATCTTTTATAGTTTATTGTATTAAAATATATAGTGTAATGATATAAAGTTTGTAAAATATTATTGAAAGAGCTAGGTACATGAGCAGAATTTTATCCTTTTCATCATGTTCCATACTCTTATACTATGGAAAGTTATTTGTCTTAGATAGGTTCACAGTTGCCCAAATCCTGGGTGAATCCATGGTTCTGATCAGGGAAGCAACCAAAGGGACTTGGCTCAGAAAGATTGATTTAGACAAATGCTTGAAAGCAAAGTTATGCCAAATGGGTAGGAAAGGAGAGAATTAAGTGGTGAGGGTCGTTGGATGGTCTCTCTATCAACAAAGATGATACACAGTTTGTATTGGTTTCCGCAACATAAATATAGTATATTATATCTGTGCAGTTTGATCATACTGTCCTGTACAGGAAAATAATTTGTTCAGTATATTAATGTAAGACATAATAAATACCAGGATTGATAGTACAAAGGCATTAAGTGGTATAAGAATGCTGTTTTTTGAGAGCCAATTTTTTTTCATTAATCTGTATTTGGTAAAGGATGATGATGTAATCACAATGATATATTTGGAAGGTTGCAAATGCTATTTTGGAGTCTACATTATTTTTATCAGGATTAAGGGTTGTAACTGCCATGGACAAAGCAAATTTTGTTGTTAATATTCATATTTCATTAAGGTGGTGTTGAATTCAAGGGTGAGAATTTTCTAAATAGAGTATAAGTATGTGAATGATCTTTAAGTGCGTGTGTCTTTTTTCAGTTATGCGGCTTGGTAAAAAGAAAGAAAAGGAACGCGAAACAGAGAGTCGACGAGAAGTTGTGGATGGTGTGAGTAGATTATTGGGAAGTGCCAAGAATCAACCTTTTAAAGGTATGTGTTTTATAAGGGGAACATCAGTCATTCTTCCCACAACCCATAACCTTCATGACACCATAATAAGAACACAACCATCATAACAACCAACCCACCATAATACTCACAACCATCACACCTAGAAATGAGTCCCAACAAGTGTAAGGTAATGAAGATAAAAGGAGACGGAGACCAGAATATATCTGTCATATCTACACTTTAGGTAATTACACTTCTACAGGTACACAATAACCACACCATGCCTGCATTGCACAGGGATAGCAGGATGCAATGGACATAGTGAGGCTGTCAAAGAAGTAGCTGGAGATGTCCACGGAGGAAGTCACAGCTGTGGCAAGATTGCCGGTAGCAATCCACGCGATGCAGTAGAACCATGGTGGGCAGCAGTAGTGGTGAAAGGACAGTGAGAGGCCATTTTGTGGTTTTTGTCCATTCTGGTTGGGCTGGGTGTTTTGTCACTCTTTGGGTCACCAATGTAACATGGACAGGTTTGGAGAATACACACACAATATAGCAATTTTAGATGTATATTTGATATAGTGTAGTTACAGTGGTTTGTTTGACTGGTACAATGGCACCGAGACAGGTTGGGTTGTAATTTGCTGATGATGGTGGAGGTAGTGATGTCTGAAAAGATAGTGGTTCATGGTAACTCCATAGTGTTGCTGCTGGCCTTGTATTCACGTTAACAATTTAAACGCAAGTTGTTTGTGTGTAGGTTAATGGGAAACATGCCTGGTATTTGTTGGATGTTATTAGCATTTCATGGAATCTGGGAATATTAAAGTAGCTGCTACATTAGTTCTAGCATAGTTGATACACTACTGTAACACACCACATCATCATAACAATCACACCACAATAACTACCAGCAAAACAACCACCTTCATAACCACAATGCCACAACACCACATCCACCTTTTAGTGCACTCATTGAAATGCATTTTGGATGGAGTGCACTGAGAAATAGTAAGGGAAATACAAGTAATGTTTGGCAGTGGGGATTCTCACACAAAGCATGTGGGGTGGAGCACCACAGTGAGACAAGTAGTAAGTTTGTGGTAGTTCCGAGCCTCTTGTGAATAAACAGCCGCCTGTGCCACCTCACCGTCGAATATATCTTCAAGCAGATGATGGAAAATCTAGCATTCATCTTTCTCTTATCCAAGTATGCCCTCTGGAAAAAAAAAGAGGGGAAAATAATGGAAAATGTGAAAAAATCTTTCCTGAAAAATTAAATTCATCCAGTTATACTGATATGTATTAGTAGAATTAGTTATACTGATATGTGTTATTAGTATGGTGTAATGCAAACACCAGTTTGCATTACACAAGGATTTACTGAAGTGACATTGGATGCCATAATATATACTTTTAAGCTTGGGTAGTTGCCAGGCACACAACTGATGAAATGAGCCTGGCTAATATGCTTAGTTGAAGGGTTAAAGTGATCTGACATTCATTTGTTATTTTTTATTAAAAATTTTGAAAGATGCACAATTTCTTGTAATTTAACTGATATGATTGCCAAATTATTTACAGATATCTTTAATTAATCCCCTTATTTTTCCACAGTGAGCATAGACTCGGCAGAATGGACAAATGTGAAGTTCTTCCAGTTGTCCTCCCAATGGCAGACTCAGATCAAATCCTTCCCTATTTCTCTCTTCAGTCTACAAGACTCAAATTTGTGACTTAGTACCCTTCATGAATCTGAAAGTTAGTTTTTTTTTTTCAACTCCAGGACACAAATGACCACCAGCATCAGAAATTAGAACCTTAGGTCATCACAATACAAAGCTTAACACCACAAGCAATAAAAGTCATTAAACAATCTCATGTAGTGATTCCTATAACTGCTGTCACTCTTTGAGGAATAATTTAATTGGCTACAAACTTATTAAAATATCGTGTAAGGTGAAAAATAATAATTCTTCGAAGATGTGCTTCAGTTACATATTGTAACATTTCATAAAATGTTATAAAGAAGGCTTTGGACAGCTTAAATAATAGGCAAATAGACCTTAGTCAGCAATCCCTGATCTCATGTCTAAAATTGTGTTGTTGTCTGCCATATAAAATGGAAATGTGAAAATGTAAATGTCATTAACTCCATGTCTAGGTTTATGTGGTACCTGAAATAGGGAAAGCTCAGCAGTTTCAAAATACATAATTATCCAATCTCTTACTTGTATAGGATGCAGGTGCTCACCAAATTGTTTCCATGTGTTTGGGATTGTTGAGTATGCCAAATATTTCAGTTACTATAAATCCTTAATTGTTTTGTTGTGAACTAATATTTGATTCGGGAATATATAAAAATTGTATTTCACAAAACTTTGTATATCACTGAAACACCTTTAACATATATTGAACGAACAATTAATTAAAAAAAAAAGTCATAAAATAGCCATACAAATTGTTATTTTTCTTTCAAATGTAATTGTCATTGTGTACTGGTATAAAAGCTGGAATAAGATATTTTCTCAAGTTATCATAAAAATGGGAAATACTTGAGAAAAGTTTGTGCATTCATTAAGGTTCCAAAGTGATTATAACTATCCTCTTTGAGATACCCACAAATGGCAGAGTCTGACAAGTATCTTGCTTCCTAGTTGTTGTGTATGTTTTGAAAAGTACGACTTGATGTGTATTATTAATTGCTTCACAGTGAAATGCTCATGTATAGGAAAGTTATGCTTTTTCATTCTGTATGACTGTTGTGATGGTGTATTTTTGTATGACTGCATGATATGGTGGTGATAAGAGATACTAGAGTATTTTAAAGCAAGTTTATGTATGGCCTTATTAAGCACAAACCTGTACACTTTGAGGGAAGGATGAAGTTATAGAATGTGAAAGAAATTGTTTGATGTTTTATTAAATTTTATCAGTTAAAATTAAAAATATAATGTAGATATGAATATGTACCGAGTCAAAACAGATTGATTTCAAAATTTTTACTCGTAAATGAATGTAAAAACCAATATTAATGATGTTAAGAGAATCAATCGCCTATATAAGATTTTTTATACATTTGTTGCATTATCATTACATGAATATTGAAGGTTCTAGTATCTGCACAGTGTTATCCCTCTGACCTTATCTGAAGCATGTCTGATATGCATTGTATCCTTAAAAAGGCATATAAATGTGTATTAAAGTTCATACTTGAATAGTTATTTTGAATAACTAGGCAAGAACAATGAGCTTTAATAAGTATTTTTGCACCACTTTAAATAGTTGGTGGAAAGCCCATAGTTTTGTTAGAAGTTCTTGATTATGCACCCAGGGTTGTGAGTCATTCTGCATAACTTATTTGCAATGCACCCAAGAGGGCGAGTCTACCAGCATAACTTGTGCATATACTACACTTTCATAAAGAAATTGAATAATTTGTCTTTAATAAGAACTGGACTATAGACCCAAAACAGTCTTAATATAATAATTACAATTAGATAGTATCAAAACCTTAAATATTATATATATATATGCATAGTTTCAGAGATTTAATATTTAAAATGTTTAGAATATTGAGAGTTTGTAAGTTTAAGATATAACTGAAATATGAACCATAGAACAAAGAATTTTAGGCATCAAAATAATCTGGATATTGTCAAATAATCAAACTTATCAAAGCCTTTGGGGTTTGTAATATTGTACACATTTCTAATGAATCGATAAGAACCACCTGGCATGTAGGATTCATTTTATTGCATAAAGAGCGACTGGATTCTCAACTGAATTTCAAGTTATATTTGCAATAGCATTAAGGCAGTGGGCATGGTATGGCAATATTTATGACTTGAGAAACACTGTTCACATTAATATTGCAAGAGTTGATAATAACTGGAAGGATTTTTTGTAAATCATTTTTTTATCGCAGAAAGGATCTTTCCAATTTGTTGTCAACCTTGTTAGGTCATTGAAGGGATGTTTTGGAAATACTGATACACAAGAAATTAATTCTGGATACAATGTCAGACATGTCCATTTTCTGCATAATGGCAACCTTGATAACATACATAAACATCTTGACATTCATTTGAATAAAATTTTAGTCAAGTGCTAGCAGAAAAGCTGTGTTGGCAACAGTATTTCCACTGATCTCATGGTGTCCAGAGTTTTAATTCTATTATCTGAACCTCTTTCTGAAGCCCTATATACATCCTTTCCTTAGGCTGGTGATAAAAGCCTTTAGAATATCACCCAACCCCACCCCTGATGTCTGGAGTCTGCCGAAGGATAAAGTATTAGTGGCCTTGTGGGGCCAAAAACCACTAGTCTCATGCTTGTTAGGGCTGGGAGTATCCATAAAGAATCTTAAAACTATTTGTGATTGGTTAAATATATTAATTTGATCAATATATATTTCACAGTTTTTCTCATAAAAGAAAATGAGATGTTTTCAGCATCTTAAAACTTGAATTAAAGAAGCTACTGATTACATATTTATGCATGTATATATATATTTTTTTTACACACACACACACACACACACACACACACACACACTCTCACTCACTCGCTCTTACTTGTGTGAGTGTAATTATTGTCACTAAGTCACACACTCCCTCTCCCATCTCATTTCTGCTGCTGCTTTCCCAGTCAGCAGTATTCTCATGACCAGTGTAGATCTAATACACAGTCTTAAGACTATTTCAGTTGTTTATCATGGAAAATGATGTTAATGGCTGACAAGAAGAAGAAGTGCTTGCAAAGCACCATGGCCAAGGAAGAGGCAATCTATTACTCTAGAGATGAAGCCAGAGATAATCAAGTGCTCTAAGAAGAAAGGAATGCCAACAAAGATTCCACATGTTTATGGCATGAACTTAAATTTTGAGCATATGCAAGGTACTGTACCAATTAAATATATACTATTATAATCTAATCTTGTGAATAGTGACTTGGCAAACTACAAACAGGAGTGAGGACTAGAATCATAGAAATCCCATCAGGCCACGTTTTCCAACCATGCATCATCTACTTTTTCACCAATTAGACACACTATAAATGATTCACCAACCTCTGCCACTCATGCATGATCATTTACCCATCTCCAGCAATTAGATCTCTTCACTTCTCAGAAACTGTTAACTTAGACAATCAGGATAGTTCTATAGTCTTGATAAATAATTTGCATCTTATATTACTTGTTCCCAAATTATTGGTTTTATGGGATGATTTTTATGGTTAGGGAAAGCATCCCTCATTTATAACATTGTACTTATGGAAAATCTGGTTCCAAGTGGTAAAATGTACCCTAGGTCATTAGATTTTAAAAGTAAAATGTATATAATTCCTAGAATAAAAATGAAGGGATGCACTACCATTACAAACTCCACATGGCCTGGGTTAGCAACAAAACGTTATTTATTCAAACTGTATTTTACATTATAAGGTAAAAAAGTACAGCAGAATGACTTAAAACTGTAAATTTACAAATTTACTAATAATCGAAGAGTAAACATTTTGAAAATACTGTACTGAATGTTGCTATATTTCTGCTGTCAGTCTGTTGAGAGTACAGTAAGTAGGCATTTGTCATGCAGTTATCGTGGTCTGTATGGACATAGCTTTTTACAGTGGAAAAGTTTTTACACCTTGCCAAGGGTTCCATTCTGTTACAGTTCATTCTACTGAGACTCCATGGGGCAGTAATTTATTTATTTGTATGTATGCATGCAGAATAACATTTAAAAAGAAATCATTGCCGAGTGTATTCAACACACTCAGGCCTTTGTTGACAGCAGAATGACTGCCAGAAGAGCAATAGGGAAGCAGTTTTGTAAGTAGTTCATGGGAACAGAAGCCAAGGAGGAGAGAGTGTTACATCACAATGAACAAAATGCTCACCAAGTTCTGCCTTATGTAATCGATTCTCTTTTCCCTGGTTTCCGTCCCCATGAATGGCCCATTATAAAACCCCTTCTCCATTCCTCTTCGGTCAGTCATTCTGCTATTGACAAAGGCCTGAGAGTGTTAAAAACTCTCTTGCAAATATTTTACCCGAGTTTACCTGAGAACCACTAACACTAGTGGCCTCGATGAGGACAGGATGTGACTTCCCCCTCCCCCCCATTTGCCTTGAACTTTTCCAGTTGTCAAAAGATCTTTTGTTTTTCCCTAATATGTGGTTATTCTGTATTAATAGAGAAGTGGTTATTGATCTTTGTTGCATAATATATTATTATGCATAAATTGCCTACACACACACTGTATTTCTTTCACTGAACTCTTGTATTTCACATACACTAATACTGTATATGCATGTGTATGTACTGTATGCACATACAAATATGCCAATCCTAGAAGTAAGAGAGACGACATGATTGCTATGTACAAAACTGTAATAGGAATTGCCAAAAATTGACAGCGGAATTCTTGTAACCTGCAACTTCAAGAGCAAGAGGTCATGTATCCAATCTAAGGAAACAGAGGAGCGAAAAAAAAATATATAAGTTTTTGAAATGTCTGATGAAAGAGTACTGAGAAGATGGGACACCATGAGCATCTTTCTAATCCTGTAACTATGCTTGTGTAATTACACCCTCCCCCCAATCCCATCCCATCCCATCCCCCACACACACACACACACACACACACACAGTAATTCATTATTACTTTCAATGAACAAATTTTTTATATCTTAAGTACAGTAATCACATTTGAATTTCTAAAGTTTTGTCATGAAAATCAATAAAAGGCATTTTCAGTTTAAACATTCATCTTGTGATACGTGGTTCAATGGATGCCCCCTACCTCAAGTAATTGAATGTGATGTAAACATTTTTTTGCATTTGTAGAGATTTAGGTGATCTAGAAAATAAGACTAGTATGCTGTGTATGTGCTGATAATTTTTATATGTCCTACTTCAGAATTGTCTGTAGATTATGAATACTGTATTGAATGAGGATGATAGTTATCTACACTTATATGAAAGTTATAGATCATACAGAAGAAAGTACAGTACAGAATATGATAACGTACATAAATTTTCACTTTTGTAACAATATTTGAAGTTTTATATATGCAATGTTGGAGGAGGACGAGATGTAACAGTGTTGAAATGGATTTTAAACAAAAACAGTGAGGTGTGTGTATGTGCTTTCAGGAAAAAAAAAGGAAAAAAAAAAAGACTTCTTTCAAGTAGCAGGAAAGATGGTGGAAGTACATACAAAGTCTCAGAATTATTGGCGTGTCACATTAAGCAATATATTTTACCGGGATGCTGACAATGAATAAATTACCCTATTGAATGAAAGGCGTTTGTAATTAAGCTTAGCTTCAAGCTTCTTGTTAGCAAACACAAGTTGCATTCATAAAAAGGTAATATTTTTGTCAATGAAAATAAGCCAAGCAACATATACTATTAAGTTGGCTTACACAAAATATTGTAGTGAAGCACAGTTGTAGTGTTTCAGTGATAATTTTTGTCATGAATCATAAAGAGTTGCCATTTTTCTTTTAATTTGAGATATATTAGTAGGACTTGCTGATAATTTCAGACTAGCAAAAAAAAAAAAATCCTAATCATAGTACTTCATGGTGATTGTGGCAATTGTTGGATTGGTTATGATGTCAGACTGTAACAAGAGCCTAATTCCTGTAACTCAGGTAGGCTATGGCCATTGTTAACAGAAATGCATCTTGTTCTTCCACTTGCTTTGGAAAGGAAATTTAGCACAGTGTTTATCAGAGTAGAATGCTCTTGTGTATAGAAATATTAAAAGGTACCTTGCATTTTGTATGTGATATGATCAGCAATTTTAAGTTACTGTAGTGTGCTTTACTGTGATCTTTTCCATTTATGCATTGGTCATAGTAAAGATATTTAGAATGATATAATTCTGAATGTCTCAGAGGCAAAAGCAAAGTTATTGTGTACTGTATTAACAATTTACTGTTCATTTAGGATCATTTTGTTATAAAAATCAAAACTTAATACAAGTAGAGCTTTATCAGAGTTGAAATTTGTCATTTTTATTTGTATTGCATACAAAATTAATATTGATAGGGCAAGCTATAATTGTATTATGTACATATTTAAAATTTTACGATGATGAACAAATTATATGAAATCATTTGCTTTGTTCAGTTTTTAACTCTGGTATACTTTGACCTAAATACTCATTCTTCTTTTTAAAATGTTTTAGATACTTATCAAAATTATGCTTGTCACTTAAAGAAATAAAAGGCAGAATTCTTTGTGAAGTGCTGAAGTATTCAGAAAGAGTGATTAAGAATCAAGATTTTCACTTTGCTTTCTGTGAAATGTATTGCAATATTTGCAGTCAAGATAAGTGTTTGTGAATCATTTTCCAAATTAATTTTCCAAAGAAACGGAAGAAAATTATACAAATGCTCAATTAATAATACAAATAATATTTGTCATGTTAACATAGCTCAATGTAATTCATAATTGGCTTGAAGCTCTTATTGTATTCTTAGGTACATAGTCTTCATTAGGTATATGTATTCTTCATACATTTGTTTTGGCTTTATGGTTGCTAAATGCATGTCCAATTTTTCCCCTCAGTTCAAAGGAAAGTTAAGTGTATGCCATTAAATACGTGGATTTGCGTATCCAGGTAATGTTGTGGAATATATTGCTTTATTTGGGTACCTCCATGATGTAAGCCATATAAACCATTGTATTGCTTACCAGAAATGAAAACTTTGCAGTGAAAATTTAATCACTTTCTTTTTAAACATTTTATACTCAAATAGTTCTCACAAATAGAAAAATAATTTCAGAATTGTATAAAATGCTCTTGTGAGTAATGTACAGTATGTCCATGTTAAGAGGAACACAATAGCTAAAATATATACATTTTCTATATATTTTTTGTTCTTAAAAACAAAATTTTCAGTAAAGTATTCTGTCGGACACAAAATACGCTAATCAGTTGCTTCTAATTTTTCCTACTACTGTACTGTGGTTGCTGCTCATAATTAGAATCCCTTTGAGAAATTCTAGGATTCACTCAAAGACCATATTAATAGTGGAAGACTAAAAAGTGTCAACAAGGCTGAAAATCCCATTTTTGTGTATATTTTCTTCATGGATGGTGGTTTAACTTTGTAGGAGAGGTGTCTGTAATGGGGGTTCTGGCATTTAGCTGTCATGAATTATTTCTGAAAAGACAATTATATCTTGGGAATCACAAGTAATTAAATAATTGTGACTTTGGATGACGCAACCGATACTTGTGGTGTTCACCAGCAGTTACTTCAGAAAGCAGGTCTCTTCCTAAGTACGACGGTGAAACTGTATTTGGATTAGAAAATTATTTTATGTATAATAAGCACTGTATCTTGTGAACTGAATTTTGTATATTGTATATTACAAATGTTTTTTTATTTAGCACTAAACGAAAAGAAATTAGGTTGGTAAGTAAACCAGAAATGAAAGACAGATACTCATGCTTTTAAGTATAGGACACATTTTGTACACACATTTTGCATAGGTTAAGTGTCACGCTATGAATAGAATGTCGGCTACTAAATTTTCTTGTACTGTCTGTTTTTTCCTTTCATTAGTGGATGATAAAGTCTTGTACTCCCTTTTACACACAACCATACATATCACACCATTTTCTGGTCACTTTTACTAATGCAAAATTTTGGAGACTCTTCAACACTTGTACTTATTTTAGAAAGAAAAAATTCACTTGGTCATCCTCTTTCATATCATATTTTGTCATACTTTTTATAAAATAGCCTTCTGTTTTGTATATATTATGTGCCATGGTAGGTTCTAACATCTTTGTTCCTTGTTGCCTTTTCGATCAACTTTTTTTTTTTTTAAAAAAAGAGTTCTACTGTATTTGAGATTGTTTATTTTCTTACTATATACTGTAATCGGATAGTCACGGCACAGTTTCTCTACTTCATTAGAATTTTCATTTCGTAATATGTACAACCTTCTGAATGAGCTATTGAGTATTGCTTCTCTCACCCATTTTCTATCACCGTACCATCCTCTGTAAAAGGAAGGCAGTGTAAGCTGTAGTGACTAATGTCACTCTGAATACATGTTGGAATATATATGGAATTTTATTTCATTATCCTCTCATACATTACCAGGTGTTAATTCTAAGGGCTCTGTCAAACTTTGAGAAACAATATTAATAATAATCCTGTACTGTAATAATAATTTTAATTAGTTTAAAAAAACTGTACTGTATATTGTTATCATTACAAATAAATATGACTTGTACAGTGGAACTTTGAGTGTGTAAATTTGCAATAATCGGCAAATATCTTGAGATTTTTTTTTTTTAACAATTTTGAAATCAATCTCTGGGGGAAACCACAAGCTATCTCGCTGAGATGGCTCCCAGCTACTAGGTCACATCGGCTGTGGAGTTTTGTTGGGCCTAATGGGGACCAGAGGCAGAACCTGGCCATCTCACAAAAGCAGAGAGCATGTGACACCACCATCTTGCCGGGAAAGCAATCATAAAGTTACCGAATCAATATACAGTATTGGTTTTGTTGAAACCACTGCTGGTTTCAACAAAACCAAAGTCTTAAAACTGGCAAATGAGCTTCCCCAACAATGTAGACAAACGATCGATTTCATCCTTCTTGTGGACGAGCTCATAAGTACTACCCCTCAACCCAACCTGTTTGGGTGGCCTGGAGCTCTCAGTCCCTTACAGCCTTCCATAGCACTTCTAATGCTGATATGGACATGTGTGGAGGTGAAGTTTAGGGCTCTCAGGTCATCAGTATAAGCTATTACTGATAAAGGGCAGCAAACTCTGAATGTATACCTTACATCACTTTTCACACTAGAGAGATTAGACAACATTGCTGTGCCCACTAAAATAAACGAAGCTGGTGGCATCTAGTGGTCTTGAGGACAGGAAGTCAGCTGCTTCAGAAAAATCTCCCCACAAAAAAAAATTGTCCTAAAAATTTATCAAGCTGGATTTTGAATTCCAGCAGTGCTTTGGCATTTATAGCTTTGGTAGGTAGGCAGTGATAGATACATGCTTAGTCCAGCTATGGGTACATCACATGTGTCCTGTGGCAGTTCTTCGCCGCTACCTGCAGGTCACCAGTTCTGCTTCGGTGGACATCTTGTTAGTTGACCCTGTTTCTTTGGTCCCCCTGTTCCAAAAGCTCATGTTTTTTTTTTTCATCCTAGTTCATGCCGACTCTCCTCCTCCCTGGTAAGGCCCATTTTTGCTGTCTGGGGAGTCACAGGGTGCTTCTCAAAAATCCCAGCATTGAATGTCATGAAATACCTCTTTTTTTTTCCCCATGACATTTAATGCTGGTACAGTAATATCATGAACCCCAGTGCCTCCCTTCTTCTCTACCAGGTTAGGTAGTAAGTTCATTGGTGGGCTATTCATTAGCCCCAGAACCGAAAAAAGAATATGGCTGCATGCAGAAGCTGGGCTGCCTGGTGGTAGGATTTGGTACTAAGAGTTTCTAACAAATTCTGAACGCTTCTCTTGTTCTGTGTGAATCGTTTGCAGAATTAAATGGAGATCTTAAGGCTCGAGTTTTTGTTATTCCAACCAGTTGTCTGTAAAGGTTCACCGCCTTTCTGTATACTTTTCCCGTGTGGTATCGAACTGTCTCGCTTTCTATGCCTCTGTAAGGAGAGCCAGGTTTTGCCTCAGGTTCCTGGTAGGCCAAACTGAACTCCCATGTCTGATGTGACCCATTTGCATGGAGCAATCTCAGCAAGATAGCTTTAGGGAGTCACTTGGGTGCTCATCCAATGATATTTTGTTTTGTTTTTAAATTTTAAGAGATGGGTACAGGCAGATTATTTCTGACATGTTAGCAGGCTTACCGCCTTTTTCTTTTCATAGCTCATATTAAACCTCACCCTACTAGTGTTCCCTGGAACATGGCCCACCAATTGGTTTACAGTCTGGTTCCCAATTACTGCTAGGTGGACAGGGACAAACAATTAAGGCTTGGTGCCTAGTCAACCCTGGCTGCCCTGGGCTTTAACCCAAATGTCTTCGCTCTCAAAGGGTTGGGAAAAACTCCACTGCTGTGCAGCTCTGACCACTGTTGTAAATTCTCACGAATCTGTTTGTATAATTCTTAATAATTCAGTAATAATAAAATCAATTATTTGTATTCATTTTACATATACTGTATTATACAAATACTATATTATACAACATTTATAATATTGATACTTTTTGTAACATTGAAATTCCTCTTGAATTATTTCCACTTCCTGATGGCAGCTAATTCCTTATCAGGAAATCAAGGGGTGATGCAAACACAGCCCCTTATCAGGTAGGCTCTTATCACTTCTAGACCAGCTAGTGCAGCGATGAGCTGGGAAAGGTGGAAGAGTGTGGCAGAAAAGGGGCCAATATACGATTCATTCTACCATTATACTCTTGTACAATACTTTGCCACATTAGATAAATTTAACTTTCTCTGGGACATTTGAGTGCACAGTAAACAAAGCAAGAGTAACTTTGGAAAGCCAAAAGGTAAGCAACATTTGTCGTTTGTAAATTTTCAAATGGTAAAAACTGTCTTCGAGGAAGTATAGTGTGTGCAAGTGTTAACCAAAGTGAACTTATCTAGTTGTATCTGCTGGGAACAAAATCTAGCTCTAAGAGCTATTCCTTATTGTAATTGTACCTTGGAAATTTATACATACCAACGTCCCAGCGCTTCAGGACATTGACTTTATATGCACAATATGCTGTTATAATATTAATTTATATTTGAGAAAATTCCCGTTTTGAATGAACAGCATCTACAAAATTCATGAATGCGTCTGTGGGGTCGACCGTTGGATGTAATGGACTTGAGTCGAGGACGGGTTGTCCCCAGCAATGCAAATATACTAATTTGATTTCGTCCTTCTTGTAACAAGGACGAGCTCATAAGCACTACTCCTCAACCCAACCAGTTTGGGACTGGTAGCTCCCAGTCCCAGTCTCAAGACGGGAGACAGAGCAAGTTGAATAGTTTTGAGGCCAGATTCATGGATCTGAAGGTTTCTCATAATCCATCCTATTATTTTCTAGCTGACGCTATATTTAATTAGTTATGCTAAGTATTAGGTCGTCAAAGATTATTCTCAGATCCTTTACATATTGCTGTCGTCAGCATGCATACAAGCTACGTTACGTCCGTTCTTAAAGGAGTTCATTGTTGACAATAATCCTATCAAAGTGAGAACCGACAGCGAGGGGAAAGATTATGCTAGAGGTGAGAGGAAGGAAACATTGTGAGTGCGCGAGGTGAAAGGGAGCGGGCATTGTGAGTGCTCAAGGGGAGAGATGAGGGCAGATAATGTGAGTGGCGAGGACTTGCCACCTGGCGCCCGTCTGGCCTTATCTGTTAATGTTTACACGACTATCAAATGGAGTGGACAAGTATTTTGTTAATTTCCGTAATAAAGAAAATTCCGAAGGCACCATAAGTGAACCAATACTAGTATAAATAGTGCCTCTGAATTGCCACAACCATTAACAAGCTTTATACCGTTACTAACCCCCCGTCCCATAACAAATCCTTATCCTGACCCCTTCCTTCCCAGTGCTATATAGTCGTAATGGATTTGCGCTTTACCTTGATAGGTCCTTTCTCTGCTAGTCAACGATACAGATATAACCGTCAAAGACCCTCGTTTTTTTCAAAAAGATTATTCAAACACTATGCCCTTGTGCGTATTTTGCTGCCCAGAGAGGGCGGGAGACGGCTGCGTGCACAGTACAAGACGGCTGTATAAACTGGACGTGAGGTAACCTTCAGTGTGAACGTGCTGAGCAGGTAATCCTCAATATGAACGTGCTGAACAAGCATTATTCGATTCAGCGACGGAGATAATCATTTGCTGTCGAACCAAGTACCATACCAAAAAATGCCTGGGCGAACATACCCCGCCATGAGTCCCGAGGGAGTGGATTACAACAGCAAGCCCCCGGGGGGAGGGGGGATTACAACAGCAAGCCCCCGGGGGGAGGGGGATTACAACAGCAAGCCCCCGGGGGGAGGGGGGATTACAACAGCAAGCCCCCGGGGGGAGGGGGGATTACAACAGCAAGCCCCCGGGGGGAGGGGGGATTACAACAGCAAGCCCCCGGGGGGAGGGGGGATTACAACAGCAAGCCCCCGGGGGAAGGAAGATTACAACAGCAAGCCCCCCAGGGTGTGAACTACAACCAAAATGTTATAAACCCAAGGCAAGATAGATTACTCCTCTCATAAGATGGGATGCCCCACTCATAACTGGTGGCCAGCGCTTCGACCTATTCTATGAAAAACAAACCACACAATACAAATTAGTACAATGGCTTGTGACCCGACTGTGCTAAGTTTCGATATTTACAGAAGGAGCGAAGTCTGGGCGCGAGACCGACTTCGCCCAGCATCTTGAGGTGCAGATAGCAGACTAGACGAACTGCTTCCCAAACTGGGGGCCATGGTCCATCTGGGGATACCTTTTTTATATGTAGGGGGGGGGGGTCTTATAAATTGATGATGCGGTATACAGGTTATGATAGCAAAAGATACCAGATGGGGCTTGGTATATATTAATGGCCCCTTAATAAGGATGCTATAGGAAAAAGGGGTTATGACCGTTAAGAGTTTGGGGGAACCACACACACCAAAGAGAGCTCAACCCCCGCAAGCACAATTAGGTGAGCACACACACACACACACAGTCCCGATCCTGTGCCAGCCAAGTCCTGTACGGGCTCACCATAGCCCGTGCTACTTTCAACATTTTGTTCCGAGTAGCTGAACCTAAAATAACATTGGGAACCAGTGGGTCACTTGAGCGTTACGAAATTCTGAACCAAGTCTCAGACTCCAGTATATCATTACACTGCTGTGTTCTGGAATAGGATTTTTATTGTATTTCGGCGTTTCTATTAGTTTCAAAAGATTGAAAAACATCAACTTAAGCTGTTTTAAGCAACCCGTCTTCAGACCAAGTTCATTCCATCCAGCGATCCACCCCAAAGACGCATTTATAAATTTTAAAATGCTGTTCATTTAAGACGGGAATTTGCTCAGATATAGATAAATATTATATAGTAGCATATTTAGGCATTAGTTAGGTTAGGCGTTTAGGTTCCGTTGGCAATTATTTGTATTTGTAGTACGTGGGAGAAGCATTTACAGCGTTGTGGTTCGAACAAAAGTCGTCAGTGAAGCACTAGTTCCGGAAGTTTTCGGACGTCAACAGTTGTAATTCGTGTGTAAACCGTTTTTCATTCATAAACACCTGGGGTTTGGCGGGTGCGTGAAATGGACTTTCGCCTTTATGGGACGGGCTGGTTTTAAGAAGAAAAGAATAACGGAAACACGCCGACATGAAGCAGTCTTGCCATCGAGACGAACACACAGGAATATACAAATGCTGCCGTTTACACAAACCAAAATTATTTAACTGGTTACTTTCTGACTACGATTCCCTCCACCAGATGGCAGAGAAGCACCAGCTGGCACTTGAGGGCAATATAGTGGGCGTGGTCAGCATCACAACCCCTGTGAAGAACTTCGACAGAACCATCAAGGATCAAGTTACCTGGGCGGCCTACAGGTATTTTTGTAGTAACAACTGTACACACTTTTGCAATGCTTAACATCTAATCTCTACTGTATTCGCTGGTAGCAGCGTTTGAGACTGCAGATTCTATACACCATGTCGTTTTCTTTGACATATTTCGATTCAAGTTCATGACGTGTTGCTTCTGTGTGTGTGTGTGTGTGTGTGTACTTACCTAATTTGTGTGTGTGTGTGTGTGTGTGTGTGTGTGTGTGTGTGTGTGTGTGTGTGTACTCACCTAGTTGTGTTTGCGGGGGTTGAGCTCTGGCTCTTTGGTCCCGCCTCTCAACCGTCAATCAACAGGTGTACAGATTCCTGAGCCTACTGGGCTCTGTCATATCTACATTTGAAACTGTGTATGGAGTCAGCCTCCACCACATCTATTTATAGATGTGGTGTGTGTGTGTGTGTGTGTGTGTGTGTGTGTGTGTGTGTGTGTGTGTGTGTGTGTGTGTGTGTGTGTACATAGCAGGTGTTATCCATGCAGCACTCTTGCGTTCGTCATCCTTGCACCAAGACGTAATCGTGTTCATAAATCCTCAAATCTAAATCCTTGGACGTTTCACCTACGCATTCTACGTGTACTGTGTCACAGTAAATACCGGGTTCAGTGTAAAGCCATTTCCTAGTGTTTTTTATTGACTTTACTTCTTGTGTTAGCGACGTTCGTGGTCGAGAGAATAAGCAGTCGTCCGGCCTGCCTTTATTATGGTCATGTTTTTAATATTGCGTTTACGTAATAGTTACTAACATCAATAGAAGCCAAATTTGTTAAATATAAAAAATCAATTCTGGGCATGCCGCTATGTCAAAAGAAAATTTGGCTTCCACATTTTACCGGTACACGGATGCTGTGTATATACACCACTTCAGTGTAATGTAAACAGTTTACATTAATCTTAGACTGTTCAAGACTAAAGTGGCCGTAATATCCCTCCATAGGTTTATAGACTCAGCAGTTTATAGACAGAGCCCAACACGGTATTAAAAAAAAGGCCAAGACTTCAAGTATAAGACAGTACCAAACTTCCAACATTATTGCCGTTATGTCTCGTCCCCAGGGCAGTCCTGCGAGCTTGCGAAGAGGACGCTACGAATAATGACCCGGGCAGCCAGCAGGAGGCCACCGACCGCCACCTGGGGTCCACGGACGCCAGCCACTACGGCAGGCCCTGCGTCGTCTCCCTACAGGACGCCATGGTCACGTGAGTCCAACCTTCAAAACACGAGAGTCGTATTCACCATCATATCTAGCGGTTACAAGGACACGAACAGTAGTGACAAATGACTACACTAATAGGGGGGGTAGAAATAGCCTAAGCTATTTCGCCTGCATAGCCTAAGCTACTCTAGCCCTTTTGGGATGTATTTTTGTCCTTGTCTCAATAAACATACTTGAACTTTAACCACAGTAATTCATCATTTGGACGCGCTTTGATGTCAAATGTTGTTCGTGCAGTGAAGTGGACTCGATGCAACAGTGAGATACGTAAATAATATTATTAATGTGTCACTGACAACTGTCATTAATGGACCTCTAATGACTATAGTGTAGTCGTAGGTGAACACTTGTCCCGCCTACCGAGATCTACTACGAATCATAACCCTTCTGAGAATTGACTTCTATATCAGCAAAATGAAATTCCAGCAACATTTTATGTGAAGATCAAAGATCAATGTAAATTAATTAGGGTGGAATTTTTTTTGGACAACCTTTATGTATTTTTATTAAAATTCTTCATGACGTTTCAAATACACAGTTTTCATTGTCAGCTCTTATGGAAATAAATTTAAATAATTAAACAAAAGAAAACATTGCTAAATTTCTAAGCTAATATAGATTTTAAAAGTATTTCTAACCTTTAAACATTGACAAACAAAATTACAGCACAAATTGAAGGACAAGACAACATAGAACAAAACTACTCACTGTAATGGTCAACAGATGTCGATACAATAGATGCCAGTCACATTAACTTTCTAGGAAGGAAAGCATGAAAAAAATATGTAGACAATAATGCAAGCACTATAGATAAAGAAAAGCAAAGAGAAAAAACTGCTCAATATTAGACCGTACACAGCTGTAATGCATATTTTTTTTTTTAAGAACGAGGCTCATTTATGTAAGTGCGCATTCGATCCCACAATTTTCGTCGCCCCTTAATCAACAGCAATATTTATGTGCAGTAATTCCTTAAGCAGTAGATCAGAGTAAGTATTTATAAATAGAAAAGTCACATTCGTAAAATTGATAATCTAGAGAGAGTTCTCGAATCCTAAAAAAAAAAAGGTTTGTTCAAGGGGTAAACCACTCTGAAAGATAAACCTTTGTAGTCAAGAATCCTTATCTCAAGTTTTATAATGGAACTTTAGATATACTCCGTATTACAGGCGTTATCAAACTTTGATAATCATCAATGCAATATTTTGCTTAATTATTTGAATTTGTTTCCATAATACCTAGGCCATCCACTTGAGCTGGACAGTAGAGCGACGGTTTCACTTCCTGCAGGTTGGTGTTCAATCCCCGACCGTCCAAGTGGTTGGGCTTCATCCCTTCCCCCCCCCCCCCCCCGGGTCTCATCCCAAATCCTCATCCTGACCCTTTCCTAAGTGCTATATAGTTTTTAATGACTTTGCGCTTTATAATGATACTTCCCTTTCTCTTCCATTACCTAAAAATTAAAACCGTTTCCGAAAGACCATGAAGAATTTTAAATTTATTTAAAGATAATTTTGCCTTTTATGAGAAGTTTCCCGTTGCCCTGGTGTTCATTTTCATCGTGTAATTAAGATTTCCCAAAGAGGAACCTCTACTGAGGACATGAGCAACTGTACAGACTGAACTGTTAATGCGCATGTCTTTTTTTTTACGATACGTGCACTTTAAGTGAAGTTTTTCTCCTCTAGAACCTCTCTCTTGCCTATTTATTGCCTGCATCAACTCCCTCATCACAATCGACTTGAGAATGGGTCCAGGACGGACCGAAACGTCGTCGTCGTCCCTTCACCTTCTAGTGTGTAGTCTGGTCAACCTCTAGATAACTTCACGAGTGGGTGATGTTGGGAGGCGCGTCATAGCAGCGCGTCTAGTTTACAAATTTGGCTAGACTTTGACGTTCTTCTTTAGACCTTTACACCACTGTTTTAAAGAGGTCTGACTGCCTCGAAAAAAGTATGATCAAGTTAACTCACCTTAGCTATCCCGACAGTGTGCACGAAGGCGACCAAAGGGTGCTGGAGGCGAGCGTGGAGAGTGTGAGTGTGGCGGCCACAGTGCCGGGGGACCTCTGTCGACTAGTGCTGGTGGCATGTCCTCAGTCCCACGCCTTCACCCTCGACGCAGACGGCACCGCCATCGCCCTCGTCCTCACCGGCTCCTCCTTGCTGCTCCTCGGAAGATTTCTCGATGCCATGAGTGGCCTAAATCCCAAGCTTAGGTGAGAACAATGGAAAGATGTCGTAATTATGTCCAAGAATTATTTGCTCGTATATTTGGGCACATTATCATGTTAAAGATAGTCTATATTATACATGGTTTATATATTTTATGCAAATATTGTTTAGAGTTTTGTAAAGCAAAAAAAAAAATATTCATATATTCGATGCAGAGAAAATGTCGGCTCTCCTTTTTCGTAATTAATCTGCATTTACTTCAATAGAAGAAATTTGTTTTATCGGAAGTTTTAAATAATGTTAGTGTGTAATGACCCCCCTAGACTCACTGTACACCTGGGGCCAGATTCACGAAAGCACTTACGCAACCACTTACGAACGTGAACATCTTTCCTCAATCTTTGACGGCTTTGGTTACATTTATAAAACAGTTTACAAGCATGAAAACTTCCCATTCAACTGTTGTTATTGTTATAAACAGCCTCCTGGTGCTTCGGGGCTCATTAACTGCTTAATAATTGGAAACAAAGCCGCCAAAGCTTATGAAAAGATGTACAGGTTCGTAAGTGTTTGCGTAAGTGCTTTCGTGAATCTGGCCCCTGGAGAATATCCGTATATTTGGAATAACTATAAATGTCTAATTCTGCTTCATGTTCTTCAGAAGCCCGAGGTCTGAAGGCACGAACTCCACGCCTCCACCCAAGCCCTTGCGCGCTTCCCAAAGAAAGAAGTCTCCTGGGCAGTCGACCGATCCCCAACAGGAAGTCCTCAAAGACGAACCTCCCAAACTAACTCGCAAGCTGTCTCAGCTTGCCATGTCAGGCTCAAATCCTTCTGAAGAAAATGCAACCAGCACTGCCGCTCCTTCGTGTCCAAATGAGAGTGGACATTACCCCCTTCGAGGGCAGCTCAGTAAAAATCGAGCTCAGGACTGCAACTCCGGGTACTACGATGAAGTGCCATCGGGACCTCCAAGAAGGGTTGATGAAGAAGCTGGTGAATCTGTCCAAGCCACCGAGGAATCGCTCCAAAATACTGATGAACGTGCTTGAGAATCTCTCGAGCACATTGCGTTTAATGCCGACAGCTGTAGATCTCCAACCGAACTAGTGATAATTCATTTCAATCTCAACTTTAATTTTACAGTTATAAAGTAACTCACTTTTATAAGATGATTCTTGTAATTACCACTAGCTAACAACAACTGAACAGGATCGACACAGCCATACGTTCTTTTAATTGGTATGATTACATACGATATTGTCTTAATTGCGTAGCGATGTGTTAATAAGTAAACGAGCAATTAGATACATTAATTACAATGACCTATAACATGCGTGCATTATAATTAGTTTGGTTTCCTAAAATCGGGGTCGGGGACAAAAAAAAAATATATAAATAAATAAAGTCGGGGACTGGAAGCCTGCGAGGCTTCCCGAGATCACTCTTAGGCCTTGGCTATTCTATTAGAGGGTCCTCTGTTAGGTTAAGTTCGGGCAATTTAGTACATCAGTTTAGTGACGTTGGGAACGCTCCGAGGATGAGCTGATCTCCCAGGATGCAGAACACAACAGTTGACTAGCTCCGGGGTACTTATTTACTGCTAGCGGTACAAAAAGTATCAGGTGAAAGAAAATGTTGCCCAAATGCTTATGTCCTACTGCGGGAATGAGCCTGTATATATCTTATGCCCGATATTTACTGAATGACAAAAAAAAATCATTATTATGGGTACATGTTGAATAAATAGGAATAAGAGCCATTATGCATTCCACTCGGGTGTACATACCTAAAATACAATCGTTATGCAAGTACTAATGTATTTTATACAATATAGGGGGCACGTGTCTCCTAATACAATTATTACTATAATGGTTATCGTCAAGACGATTGTCCCCCGCTAAATAATCCTCAAGACAACGTATCCACAAGGGCCGTGACGCGGATTCGAACCTACGTCTGAGAGCATCCCAGACGCTGGGATGCGTCACGGCCCTTGAGGATTTGTTCATTTGATACATCACGCTATTGTGATTTCTGTGTTTTAACAACGTAGCCACCTTTGCCTAGGCTTGCGTCTCGTTACCTCGTATCTTCACGGGCTCACCATAGCCCGTGCTGCATGAACATTTCGTTCCGAGTAGCTAAATCTAACAACAACAACAATATCCTTTAGTTTCTTACCCTGTACTCTGAGTTCACTCCAGCCAGCCACACTTGTAATGATTTTATTCACATGCTAATAAAAATTCAAAATTTATAGAGTTATATAATTTGTTTTTTTATATCTTAAACGTAATATGCATTATGTTAGTTGGGGTGTTCCCCCCCCCCCTCCGGAGCTGGTATACCTGACTTCCCACCCAACACACACTAAGGGATAAGGTAGCTAGGTAAATTAATAATACAGTACGATAAGTTGTCTTTTTTTTTTTTTTTTTTTTTTTTAGGGGAGGCAGCACACAATACCTCGTTTCCTATAGTGGGAGCTTGTTAGCCGATATCTGTTCGGTGTGGACTTTAACTGTTCTCAGTTTACCTCATCATTGAGAGTTGAGGTTTGGGACTTAAGATGTGTGGACCAGGACCAGCGCAGAGGGCTATACAATGTCCATTAATGATATATTCAGGTTTTATGGAGATACATAAAAGACAGGCTCAAATGATGTGGGAGACACGCATACTGTAAAGACGAAAGCCACACATTTACACGTGTAAACATTAAAAACTCTTGACTTTGATTCAAGTTTCCGCAGAGAATTTGGAGAAGAAAATTGAAAAAAAAACATCAGGACACAATTTTGCCGACTCCATGAATACAGCGCTTAAATTTATGAGTATTATCTTGCGAACATTCGCTTGATACTTGGTAAAGGTGGATTTCCACTCATTCGTGGCCTTTGCCACGCCTCCCTGGCGTCAGTGGGGCAGCACAGAGGCTTGTTCGAATTTTGTTCGAACCACAACGCTATAAATGCTTCACCCGCGTACTACAAATAATCACCAACGGAACCTAAACACCTAACACCGCCCACGGGATGGGTATGTGGTGCATAATAAAGAAATGAAAACACCTAAAATAACCAAGGCCTAAATATGCACAACATAAATTTACACGAGAAAAAACATAATTTTATGATTATGACAAGTTAAAATTGATGAATGCGTCTTTGGGGTCGATCGCTGGATGGAATGAACTTAATCTGAGGATGGGTTGGAAAAACTGAAGAACCACAAGAAGAATGGTAAAAAGAATTGCCATTTTGGACACGTTTTTTTCCACACAGGGTGTCTGGCACTGCCCAAGATTACCTATTTAATACAGCAAGATTGAAAGAGCATGACAGAACTCCTGAAGGCAATATCCACAGAAGTGTTGAACCTCTCCCTGGAAGGCTGCCAATGGGGCCAAGGAACGCTGCCAGCAAGATACTGGTGTACAGTTATCCGCAAGACATCACAAGCATCATTGCCTGCTTTCTTATTCTGGTGTAGTGCTGTTAGTGCATTAGTGGAGGAGAGCCTACCCATGTATACCAATGCTTGCAACCCCTCTTGGAGGGGGATAGCAGTCTCAAGTCAGATCAAACCCCCATTTGACATTGTTACTAAAATGTATGAATATATATTTTAATTTAAAAAAAAATAAAAAGTTTAAAAACAATTTAAATTTAACAAAAATTTAAATTTAACAAAAATTTAAATTTAACAAAAATTTAAATTTAACAAAAATTTAAATTTAACAAAAATTTAAATTTAACAAAAATTAAATTAAAAAAATTAAATTTTTAAAATTTTTAAAAATTAATATAAAAAAGTATAAATTAAAAAAAAATAAAATAAAAATTTAAAATTTATAAAATGTAAAAAATTTAAATTTAAAAAATTTAATTTTTTTTAAATTTAATTTTAAATTTTGTTTAAAATTATATTTAATTACATTTAATTAAAGAAATTATATAGCATAATTTATTACATTTTATCTTATAATCCTAATGAATATTTATCATAGTCTCACTAGCTCAATTATTAGTAAATTGGTAAATTAGTAAAATATTACTAAACTGGTATATATAAATTGGTAAATAATTGGCATAAATACTTCTCATTCACAATACGCTAGTAAATATTTTCATTCAAAATAGACTAAGGAATTCTGGCAATTGCTTGTTAGTAGTCCCGTGGAGCTGTTGCCAATGACCGGATAAACAGTATTAATTAAACTTTTCAAAGACATTTTTATGCTAATTGTCAGCGATCAAAACGTCCTGATCACTGCACAGATCCACTAGAAATGTATTCTTACCTGGAATGAGTACGTTGTTGGCTAGTTACTGTCGCTCTCTGGCGATTTCTGTAACTTAAAACAGCATTTACTCATCACCAAGATGCTTTAGAGCACCGAGTTAGGCTGGCAGTGTTTATGGTGACCCCCTCTCACTTGACACCGGGTTTGGGGGGCTTCCTGACACTGTACACTCCCACCTCTGACGTTTTCAGGACGGCCTAACACCCTCTACCCTACATACACACACACCCGACTCGCTCACACACACCCGACTCACACATTCCCATACCTCAGAAACGTTCCGATTCTCGCTTTCTGTTGCGTTCACTCCGAGGAAATCCATCCATGCCAGTACTTGGGGAGGTCCCCGAGCACACCTACCTGAGCCCCGAGTTTTGTTGACAAGTCTGGAGCCAGACAGCGACGAGGACGAAGTATACGTCACCTCTACCAAGCCGTCCCATTGGCTACCGACGGAGATGACCCGTGAACCACTGGAGGAAACTACCTGCCCGCCACTTCGAGCATACTTTACTTCTTGTAATGTCCTTACAAGGAGTACGGGGAGGGGAAGGCAGGAGAAACGTACATAATATGGCTTACTAGGGAACTAACCAATGTTATTTCTGATTACAATTAGACAATATATCTTGGGGCATCTAAGCCCGGTAACATCGCCATCAGAGGATAGTCAAAACTCGAGCGTAGTCAGGTTAATTAATTTATTTAGTTTGTTGTATACACTCATCACACTTATAAACTTTTTACCGAGCTACATAATGCCACTCTGAAGTCACAGTTACAGTTAATAATATGCTGTTTGCTCCTCGTGGAGAGGACAAGCCAGGGGAGACTGGCTGACTGGGAGAGACAAAGTGAAGGGGGGAGTAAGCGATGTTGGGAGAGCTGAATACGTCAGGAGTGTTGGTAGGACTGATTTTCGCATGTTAAGAACCGGCAGGGGCGGCATGCCTGCAGTGTTGATAAGGTTGGTATGCCTGCCGGGAAGGAAAATACAGTTTGGCGGGAATGCTGATACAATGGTTGTGGATGGAGGAGTACGCAGGACTGCTAGGGCTTTAGGGCTGGCAAGCCTCGGCGAGGAAGGAATTTAGGGAGCTGGTCTGTGTCCGTTGTGTATAATAAGTGTACGTGATCTGTGGACGTGGTCAGCTCCGTTCCTGTTCTTTAACCTTAAGGAGCAACTCTGCCGGTACTATACAGGGACCTTGTAATAAAGCTCCTCTTCATCCCCTTCCAACCTCAAGGAAGCCAGACATTCCATCAGGAACCCCAAAGAAGCCAGACATTCCTTTACGAAGCCTCAAGAAACCCTTCATCATCTCTGGAAGCCTTAAGGAGACATGCATTCTCGCGGGAAGCCTCAAAATTCCTTGAGGAGCCAGACATCCCTTTTAGAAACCTCAAAGAGTTAAGCATTCCCTCAGGAAGCCTCCATAAGCCAGGCATCTCTTTAAGAAGCCATGCACCTCCTCAGAAAGCTTCGAGGAACCAGGTATATTCACTGGAAGCCTCAAGCAACGATACATTTCTTCAGGAAGCCTCAAGGAGTCAAGCATCCTCTACGAAACTTAAATGTTTCTACCAATCAGTTAAGGGTAGTGCTGACAGTGGCTGCGAGAACTACCCTAAAGTGAGTGTGAGTGTGTGTGTGTGTGTGTGTGTGTGTGTGTGTGTGTGTGTGTGTGTGTGTGTGTGTGTGTGTACTCACCTCACCTATTTGTGCTTGCGGGGGTTGAGCTTTGGCTCTTTGGTTCTTTTCCGATTTTCGCATGTTAAGTCATGTGTGTGTGTGTGTGTGTTGACGGGGCTTAATGGGCCATGGCTTGGAGCATTTAGGCAGTGGCTGACTCGTGCCTTTAAAAGCATCATTTCCACCAGACATCATTTGAGGTTTCAGATATCAGATTTGATAGCAAAGGTGCTGATATCAGATTTGATAGCAAAGGTTCCTATATCTACAGTACTCGGAATACTTGTACTTAAGTGACAGCACCAGAAACACACTCGAGTTAATTTTTTTTACACGTACAAAGGGACATGTCATACAAACAAATGATTAAAAAAGGGGCAAATAAGAGAGGGCAGGAGCATATCTCCTCAGACGCGCGGGGCTTAATCAACCCCTCGGTAAATTGGAAAAAATATGGAGATAAGGAAAGCACAGGAGAACCTGTCTATGGTGGGGATCATCCATTGTCATCTTGCGGTATGGCACTATTATCGGTACCATTAAAGACCTTGCTATAGCGGCAAGTGAGGCCGACGAAGGTGTGTTAAAATATATTACTCTCTACAGCGTCATGGGGGAGGAGGAGAGGGGGGGGGGTGGGGGGTGGAGGATGGAACTATCAGGGAAAAACGCCAAGCCATCACGACTATATAGCACTGGGAAGGGATCAGGATTTGGGATGGGACGGGGGGATGAGGCGGAAGGAATGATGCCCAACTATTACTTTGATGGTCGGGGGATTGAACGCCGACCTGCATGAAGCCAGGCTGTCGCTCTACCGTCCAGCCCAAGCGGTTGGGGAGGGGGGGGAAGAAAGAGGCATTTCTCGCAGGCGATGAGTCACAATAACGTGGCTAAAGTAAGTTGACCAGACCACACACACTAGAAGGTGAAGGGACGACGACGTTTCGGTCCGTCCTGGACCATTCTCCTACCAATCGACTTGAGAATGGTCCAGGATGGACCGAAACATCGTCGTTCCTTCACCTTCTAGTGTGAGGTCCGGTCAACAGGCATCTCATTATGTCAAACGCACCTCCGTTTGACGTAACTTGTCTAGATATTCTAGAAAAGTTAATCTAGTTCTTCTGGCGTTCTCTAATGGCCTCATAACGATGCCTCCGACAAACATTCTTCTTAATATTTTTAAATCTCGGCTAATAACTACATCGAACATCGGGGAATTCCAATTTACAAGTTTATCGTTGAAGCCGATACAAATGGCCTCGAACCAGCGAACACACTTTTCCCTGGAGGAGGGTGCTGTGTGCGTGTCTCTGGCCGCTCACTCCACCAGTCTTCCTCCCACACTAATCTTACCTACCTCTTTGGCATATTGTAACTTTATAAAGACCTTTACATCTCAGAGCACACAAACATATATATATATATATATATATATATATATATATATATATATATATATATATATATATATATATATATATATATATATATATATATATATATATATATATATATATATATATGAATGATATCAAAACCCACTATTTAGAAAAATAAACAAGAAAAATGGACTGGATTTTTTTGGTCCGGTCCGAAGTCGAGACTCTCTCTGTTCACCAGTCTCTTTCTTGTGCTTTTTATCTTCTAAATAATTGATTATTATTACATACATACATACATACATACATACACACATACATACATACATACATACATACATACATACATACATACATACAGACACACACACACAGTCATATGAAGGATTAACATGAATTTAAAACGGAAACACGACTAGAATCATAAAGGAGGCCCTTAACAGTGGTGTTTATCTGTTACCTTAGAGTTACTTGCCCCGCTCCTGTGCCAGGTAAGTCCACTACAGGATCACCATAGCCCGTAGCTACTTGGATTTTTTGTTTTGTTCCGAGTAGCGGAATCTGAAACAACATGTTGCCTCAGAACAGCTCTCAACAGGATTAATTATACCTCCCTGCAAAACCCATTTTTTTTTTAATCCACATATATCTATTTACCTTTTCTCTTAAATTTTTTTCATTATCTCTTAGATATTTGTATCTGCCATAATTAAATATATATCTATCTTCACAAAATACTTATCTACTTTCACCAGAGATATTTTCCATCGAGAGATACAGGGTGGGGGGAAACAAAAATTCCCTACGCCTCCTCTGAGACAACTATTCAATTTCAAGCTTAAGCAATTGCCTTTATTTCATTGACCTGGGCTCTAGCACAGACTCGAACCGCTGACCCCCCTACGCGTTTGAGTCCGAGACCTTAGGTTTTTTTTTGGTTTACTGTTAACTGTTAACGACGTCGTCCCGACACACCCCCCCTCAGCTCCTGTTCCTCCTCCACCCTTAGGTAGCCGTCGGGGAGGGTAAAGAGTCACAAAACACACATATGTTTCAGGTGTTTTTCAACGGCCTCAAGATAACCTTCCTTACACGGCTCTTAAGAACTAAATTGCGGTTTATACATTTATACAGTGGATGTTAATGAAGGAGGTTTATGTACTATATATATATATATATATATATATATATATATATATATATATATATATATATATATATATATATATATACGGCGTAGAGAATAATTCCATTTTCTTATAAAAGCCCAGTACACGAAGAACATTTTTGTGAATTTAGTAACATATATCTATAAGACTACAAATATATATATATATATATATATATATATATATATATATATATATATATATATATATATATATATATATATATATATATATATATATATATGTATATATATATATATATATATATATATATATATATATATATATATATATATATATATATATATATATATATATATATATATATATATATATATATATATATATATATATATATATATATATATATATATATATATATATATAAGATGTTGCTATTCTATTATAATGATTACAATAACTGATCATAATAAATATATATATATGGAACAGTAACCATTTTCTCACCGTTACTAACCAAGAACACGTAATACGTACTTATAAACAACATACACTATTAATACACTATTAATCTATACAGTGCCAAAATGTCACATATTGGAAATACACAGGGAGGTAGTATGCCTTTTTTTTCCCCACTATACTCGCATACTCCCAATATACATCTACACTGGTTATTATATACAGACATATACACTGATAGTGTATAAATATACATCCCCCAGTATATATAAGTATATACATACAGCTACATGCACTCCAATATGCACTTACACCTTGGGTATACACCGTCACGACACCCCAATATGTATTCATACACCCATATGCATGTACTCGTGTATACAAGGTGTATACACCAGTATACATGCACATACACTCTACTTTAACGTAAACATACTCCAATATATGCCTATACATACCTCAAAATGCATTTACATTCCAGTATACATCATATACAAAAGTATACATTTATGTACACACACACATATACACCGTAATACAGAGCATTAAACACCTACATACATAGTAACCAAGTATACACGTACAGTTGCCACAGTATATAAATACAACCTTGTATACACCACAAAATCCATGATAGTCAACACCAACAAAATATACCCAAAATATACACGTGCATACATACACCCCAGTATACATGACTCACAACTCACAGTATACATACACATATATACACCGTAATATACATCAACACACATTCAACTATACACAAAATCACTTCTACATTAAAACCATTGAATGCGTGACGTCACAATTACAGTAGGCCTAAGATACCAGTCCCTCTATGCCAATTATTATTCATTAACATAAAAAAACTTGGCATCATCAATATAAATCTGTTTTATTTCACAATGCATTTTCCTCAATAAATACGAGAGAATATAAATGAAGCCATTTGGAAATAAAACACATTATTTTAAGATCTTGGATTCACAGGTTTAAGAATTTGACTTCACAGGGTTAAAATCCCAGTTCTCTATGTGCTGGAAAGTTACCAAAATCATTACAAGAACTTGGGTTTCCTATTACCAGATTTGAGCTTTACAATTGCCAGAATTTGGCTTTACAATTGCAAGAACTTAGCTTTACAATTACTTGATTTTGGCTTTACAATTACAAAAAACTTGGTTTTACAATTACCAGAACGCGGATCTTCATGTTCAATATAACCAAGTTCAAGAACTTGTTTTTTTCGGATGAGACAGTATGTCTTTAAACGTTATCAGCAGGTGGGAGAGACAGGTGTCTTAAGAAGTCATCACCAGGTGAGACAGGTGTCTTAAGAAGTCATCACTAGGTGAGACAGATGTCTTAAGAAATCATCACTAGGCGAGACAGATGTCTTAAGAAATCATCACTAGGCGAGACAGATGTCTTAAAAAGTCATCACCAGGTGAGACAGATGTCTTAAGAAGTCATCACCAGGTGAGACAGATGTCTTAGGCTAACTGCAGATGTTTGCCTCGCAAGGTCATCTTTGGTTCTGCACATATGTCCTCAGTGACCTCCATGTATTTTGGTCAGCACAGGTGACCTGAGGCACTCACCAGTTTAATTTATATGTGGCTTAGCTAGGTTACCCCCATATGGCTCTATTGCCCCCTCGTTAGAT